CCAACAGAGCCCGTCCTGCTGCTGTGGAGCAGGAAAACCCCCTCCCTGACGCTCCCTGAGGCTCCCAGCTTATTCTCATCTGGAAATGATGGAAATCAAGAAGGCTTCTCTCCGTGACCCAACTCTGTAAAAAGACATTTTCAGATTATTCTTGCAAGCATTTTATACACCTGAGTTGAAGCTAATAACAGTGTACATGCTGCTGGAAGGCCTTTCATCAGTGTTCACATTAATGACAGGCCTATTAACCTCTGCAAATGAAAAATAGAGCTCCGTATTCTTCCTAAATGTTAATTTAATATTATTCAAGAGGCTGTAAATGTTTTTATTTGTGTGTCTATTAAACCTTTTTGCACTAATTGCATGTTTTTCAGGCTCTTTGTATGACGTCATAGCAAAACATCCCCTCTGTTATGTTATCTCCACACAACATATGTGTCCTAGCACCATGCCTTGACTCACTCCTACACATGCACATGCAAAGAGACATCCATGCAGAAAGGACCATGCCAAAGACACATTCATAGTCTTGTTATGAAGAACCATCTCATTTTATATTTACTGCCAATTCTGGGTGAGTAATTTGGGACTTAATAAGATCTGAATGGTTCCTTCTGTCTTGTGTTGTTGATTTGTTTCCTGTTTTTTTTTTTTTTTTTTTTGTGGGTTTTTTAGCTCTAGCAAGTTTGCCTGTCACGATAGGTAAGTGCGATCGTTCAGATATGGAGCAGTGTTTTCTCTCAACCGGTGAAAACTCTTCAAATACTTTGGTGCACTTTATGAACAGTGTGGCAAAAATTGAGAAACAAAGTTTTCTGACTTCTTGTGTTCACTTTGGCTTGCTGATTATCAACAAAAAAACAAAATCTCATTATAGGTGTTAGACAGAAAACACGGGGTGAGTAACCGGTAGCAACCTTTAACAGTTGCAAGGTTTGATAAAATCCAACCAACTCACCAGCTACAATTTGGTATAATGGAAGCTTCAATGCTTAATCTGGGCTATGGGGAGTAAGGTTTAGTTGCCAATCCATCACTAGCATATAATAAAGTGTCAGTTGAGCTTAACTCCATAAAGGGATCAAGTGAAAACAAGAAGGGAAATTGTTGTACATTCATCACTACACAGAAAGATGAGAACCGATGTTAAAATATGAAACCAAAGTCAAAACGCATGAAAGATCAAAGGTCGAATGCACTATTTCAAGATAAATCCTAAAACATTAAGACTTAATCTGTAATGCCAGGACATCTGTAATCAACTCTCTCAGATTGTCAGCATATCATATTTTGATACATCGTCATAAATGCACACTTTTCTTGGGGGGTGACCACCACTAACTTTCTCTTACTGCAGTGAGTGCTTATTTCAACTTGACCCTTCTGGTAGTTTTGTCATAAAGATTTTGAGGATATATATACACATTAGCTATACTCCATTCTTTATGATAAGTTTGACTTGAATCTGCAGGTGAGCCAGGTTCTCTCCGTCCGGTCCTGTCTGGCCCTGACAGAGCCTACCTCAACACCAGGGTGGTCTTCCGCTGTTCTGCCCCCAGCTTGTCCTCTCGGGTCGCCTACAGGCTGATAAGGGGTCCTCGTATCCTGGTCGCCACAGAAGTCAGCCACAAACCTGCAGTGTTTCCCCTGAAAGTGAAAGCAGCTTCCGGCGGCTCGTATCAGTGCATGGCGTCTGCTGGAGGGAAACCAGGACTCAGCAACAGGATCAAACTGACTGTAGTCAGTAAGTATTGGACCAGTCTGGGTTCTGCTGATCGTTCCCAAGCTTCACGCTCAGCCTAATGCTCTTTACCTTATTTGTGTCCAGCTCCGCCATCAAACACAAGAGTGACCTCTGAGCCCTTTCCGCCGGTTGGCTATGAGGGGTCAAGAATTGTCATGAGCTGCGACGTTGAGCGAGGGTCCGACCTTAAGTACACCTGGCACTTCAACAGGAAGGAAGTGACCTCATCGACCGCTGGATTCCTAATCGCTGGGAACAAACTTGTGATGGAGGAGGTGACTGTGGACCAGGAGGGAAGCTACAGCTGCGTTGCCTGGTCTGTGGTGCAAGACATCAGCAGGTATTCAACCAGCGCAGAGGTCAAGGTGACAGTCAAAGGTAAATGCCAACAAAACGGTATTTCATGCATGTTGCATGTCTTCGTATGAAGGGTTTTGTCATGATGCGTGGCGGTGAACCTAAATCCAGTTGTGGTGATTAGAAACAGGTTTCAGGTGTGAGGGGAGAGAGGGAGCACTAACATGGGAGCTGGCAAAAAAAACAACAACTAGGCACTAAGAAGGACTAAAGTGAAGCAGAAACGAGGCTGATCTATGAAAATATGAGACTAAAGTGAACAAAGAACAGAAGTCAAAACTAGAATCAAATAATCAAACCTCACAACAACCTGACAAGTTTCGACTCTTTTTTAACTTCATCCCTGAATGGATTTGTTGTGTGAAATTGTTGGGTTGTTTGAGTTTCTTCTAAAATACATTCTCTCTACATTTCTTTCTCCTCCTTTTCCACAGTCAAGATCTCAAAACCGGAAATTTCCTTCTCCGTTTTCAAAGATGGGGAGAATTACCATGGAAATGTAACCTGCCGGTCCGCCAGAGGAAGTCCACCTGTGAGCTTCTCTCTGCTGCTGGACGACAGGGAGGTGAGGTCTGCTGCGGCTGCAGAGTCCCTCGCCGCCTGGTTCGACGTTCCTGTTGTGATCGGGCTGAACATGGGAGAGGCCCGGTGCCGAGGCAGAACGGAGGTGCAGGACCTGAAGAGTGAGGCCCTCGCTCTGGAAGTAGGTGAGACGCGTGTTCAGGATCAATGCCATTCTGTGAGCCACACTGCTGGTTCCCTCGTTGACCAGGAGCCATTTATTGATTTCTCATCATTAATCAATGACAGGCTGCTATATTTTGAGACAAAATGTGAGTTGTACATTATCACTTTGCAAAATAAATACTTCTTTTGCAGCTAAATGTTTCGCAAACTAAATATGTAGTTTACCAACTAAGTGTTTAAGTCTGAGCTAAATGTTTAAGCTGAATATTTAATCTGGAATCTAAATATTTAGTTTGTGTTCTAAATCTGTGAATCGAATGTTTCGTTTGGAACTCTGACATTAATAACAGAATGTGTAACAAGTTACAAATATGACTTTGAAAAATGAAACACCTGTGACGAGCTAGATAAATCAAAACTATTGCGGTTTGTTTTCATTATTATTTTACTCTGTCTAAACCGTGAGCTCATAGCCTTCCTGTTATCCTCTTCCTGTCTCTCCAGTCCCGGTCGGGGCGGACGTGAGAGTGGAAGTGGACTATCTGTACAGCGCCGAGGCCACGCTGACCGCTGCCAGGCTGAGCTGTCACATCAGCAGAGGGACGTTCCCACTCTTCTCCTGGCTCCTCAACGACTCCGTCCTTCTGCCCGAGGACATTCAGCCTCAGGCCGTCCTGTCCCACCACAAGCAAGTCCTCCTCCTCACTCGGCTCAGCGCGGAGGATTCTGGGTCTTACCGCTGCAGGGCCAGAGACAGCTACGAGGACTCTGGGCCCTGGGCCGAAAGCGCCGCTGTACTTGTCCGAGTCACCGGTGAGAAAAAAAAAGTATTGATCGCAAATGAATAGTTGGAGATGCACTCTTACATTTCTGATCATTGTCCCTCATAGTGTGCACTATAGTCACCAGATATCTGGGATACAAATACTTTAAACAGTCAGAAGAAAGGAAATAAATAGATGTGCAACATTTCTGATTTATGCCACATTAATATTATATACTCTGGTTTTCCATTCAAAACAAAGTAAAATAAGTACTACTTGGGTTCATATACTATTTCTCAACTTCATTAAACAATAATATCATTGTTTTATTTTCTTGAACCCAACTAATTGTGCGCTGCAAAACTGTAAAACATTACCAAGTGGGTTTGGTCTAGTTTCCACTGGAAATATCTTACTTGAAAAAAGACAAAACCAACTTACAAGCAAGTTTTGAGCAATGAATATGAGCTTCTTTTTTTAAGTAGCTTATTTTTCATACTGATCGTTTTTTTAAAAAGTACTAGTTTTAAGTGATATAATCTGCCAGGGGAAACAAACAATTTCTTCCTTCATCAGTAGTTTCAATTGAGAAATTCTGGATTTTTTTTTAACTTGGTGACAACAGAAATCAGCTGTTTAGCTGTTCCAGTCATCCACACTGAAGCACAAAGAGGTTTAAGGTCTTTTCACTATAAGCACTTTAAATCAAACATGAATTTTAATTAAATATTGTAAGATTGCAACTTTATTCCAATACTATCACTACTAAATAAAACATCCCTGCTGTGAAACATGGTGGTGGCAGCGTCATGGTGTGGGGAATCTAGTTTGTGTTGATGGGGAGACAGAAGGAGATAACCTGGAATAAAAGCTCCGAGTCTGCGGCGAAGGTTCAAACAGAACCAGAGCAACGTTTTGATCCAAGCATATCGATGTGTTACAATGGCCTAGTCAAAGTCCAGAGCATTTGTGGGAATACGCACTTGAAAACCGATGTGTTACAGATTTTCTCCATCCACTCTATTGACTTTGGGATGTTACACAGAGAGAAATGAACCAAAATGTTATTTTTTTTTAAGACTTGGGACGGGGATGCTGGACACAAATGCGCACCACAGTTTTCACATTTTTACTTCAAGAACAAAGTCAAAAGCCAGGCATAATTTATTTCCGTCTTGTTCACATTCATGCATTGCTTTGTTGTTTTCTATCACAATCTAAATAAAACACACAGAACTTTGCGGCTGTAACGATGAGCGATTTTAATCCCGGTCATTTTATTCTGCTTGTTTTTCCGTCAACCAGAGGAAAACCTCAACTCGATGGCTCAAGCATCGCTCTGCACTGAAACTTCACAAAGTAAAAAATGACATACGGCACTGGTAATATACTCTCACACAGCCATGATGTGTTACGTTAACGGCCTTGCGTCTTCTGACCCGCAGAGTTTTTCACTGAAGTTATCACCTTGGTGTTCTGCTGCTTCTTCCTGCTGATGCTGGCAGTGGCCTCCGCCTGCCTGTTCAAGATGCTGGCTCGCTCCCCAGGTCTGTGCAGCAAAGCATGCGCGCAATCTGTCCGACCGAAATGCTGTGCTCATTGTTTGCTTTCTGCATGTGTCTTATTTGCAGCTCCTACCAATGTTTCTGCAGCTAAGTAAGTTTTCCCCACTCATTTAACGTTGTTTCATTGCTTCTTTGATTTAAATGGCCTTGTTGATGCGCATGAAAGGCATATTTTCTATGATTCCAGCACAATACCGTTTCATCTCTCTGAGTCGGAGTCTCGGGCGGACACTTTGTCCCATGATGTCCACAACCAGGTGAACCTACAATACACCAGAGTTAATCAAGTTTTCTAACGTGCTACTTTACTTCAAAACCCCATATTTTTATTTTTATTTAAAGCTGCAGTAGCAGCTATATTTGCTCCGCAGCTCGTTTATAAAATGATACAGAAGCAATCAATAGAGGGTGCACTTACTCTGTGTAGGCTACTTAAGTTTATTGTGACGTTTCCAGGCTGGACCAGTTGTTGCTCTCTGGAAAGAAATGTCCTTTATTGTTGCAGTTGATTTAGCAAAATTATCATTTGTATGTGTTTTAACGTCAATTCAATTTGTGCTTTTTCTTGCACAAATTCTGCCGGGTCTCCCTCAAAAAACAGATGATTACCACAAAGAACCTGCTGTTTAAATACAGATTAAATAAAGAATGATAAATAAAAGTTTTTTTTAGAAATAAAGTAGTGCACTGGAAAAAATGCTTCCTTGTTATGTAGGTCTTTTGCTCTCTGCAGCAGATGTTAGTGAACATGTCGGCCGACTCTGACCTGCTTAACCACTCATCATCTTGAGGTTTGCTTGCAGGTTGAACACAGTTTAAATCAGCCAAAAGCACTTTAAGCTTCTTCATTCAGGCTGGTCTTTGGTCTTTCATCCCTAAATGCTTAAAATATGCTCTTAGAAAATATGACTTTTGCTAAATTTTAAGCTTTCAGTTGCATCCGTTCAGCAGTTCTTCTTCATATCTCACAGTTGAATAAATGGATGCATGTTCCTCAGTTAGAGCAGAAAAACAACCACAACGTGTCGGCCGCCATGTGATGACGGCTGACATGTGATCTCCGAGAGCAACAGCTGCAGGAGTGACACGCAGGTCTGGTGATAGTGTTTGGGTGGTTTCCACAGACCCCACTGAATTTGATGAGTAAAGCCTGTTTTATCTGTTCGCCGTCTGTGGAGCTCAAAATGTGGGCGGAGTTTAGGCAGAGCAAGGCGATCTGTCATTTCTGATGCTGCAACCAGCAGCAACAGCAGTTCAGTCAACTTTTGACCCATTTTTTTCATGTATTTCATCTTTACATTTTTTGAAAAATTGCAATTAGATGCTTTAAATAGTTTTAGTTAGATTTGAATGGATTCTACAAATAACTAACAAATTATATTTTTTGAATAATTCACATTTATTAGTTTTTCACTTTGACAATTGAAATCGTTTAAATAGATCACACTCATACTTAATTATATATTATTTCAATTTTCGCATATTGTTATCAGTATGTCTCCTTTGTAATTTTAGGATTTGTATTTTTGTCAGTTTCTGAATTCCCTCACATTTAGTCTTTTAGTTTTTATATTTGTCATGTCGTAAAAAGTGTTTTGTTCCACCTGAATAATTAGATTTTTACCACACGTCACCCACATAATTTATTTGTTCGTCTGTCGTAATTTTAGTTTAGATTTTAACCTCTGAAATTGGATGTTTTAGTATTGTGCACTTTTGATTTTTAATGACACAAATAGACACAATTTTTATATATATAAAGAAAGATAAAATACTGTAGGTGCAAGATATATTTTTACATGACGTAAAGTGATTGTACTATTTCTACTTCATTTTTGTTAATATTTTAGCATGTGGTCTATTTTGGCTCCCATGTTATAAACTTTACAGTATAAAAAACACACAACTTAGAAACAAAAAGACTGAATCTGTCTTTGTTTCTGTTTCAGATCGCTGAAATCACAATGTGAAAACCTCAGAGGAGATCCTGATTCATGCTCATCATTATTTATTTATAAAGTAACCAACTTTCTGTTTTCAACAATATGTTTTATAAAATGTTCTCAGCGTGGGCTATTCCTGTATAAAGAGTGATAAAATGTGTTGAACCACTACTGTACTGTGTAGTTTTGCAAATAAATTCCAGAAATGTAAATGCGCGTTTTCGTCAATTAAGTGAAAGAAAACAATGTTTTCCTGCTTCTCTGTGAGTCTAAGTTTGAGCCAGTGAGCTGCAGCAGGGCTGTTTTATTTCTCCCAGCTGAAGTGATGCTGAAGCTCGGGAGGCGTCGGCCTGCAGCTCTATCAGTCGCCTGCACGTTTCTCTGACTCTGCCTGTGAGGTCAGCAGACTCTCTGTTTCATCCACCCAGTTTCAACGGCCGCTTATTCCCTCCGATTTCACACCATTCAAAGCCTCCCGCTGCGTGAACGACTTCGACATGTTTGCGTCTGTGTTTTTGGTCATCCTGGGTAAGCAAGCCAGCAGAAACTCAGTCGAGTGTCAAGGATTTTGAAATAATTTAACATTTCATCTGATTTCGTCTCCATACAGGGCTGTACTGCTGCACAAAAGAGAGCAGTAAGTAAGTTTTCATTATCATTTGTGTGCCGTTGAAAGCTGATTTTTTATTTTATTTTTTTCCAACAGGTCAAATCCAACTGGACCAGCCACGACTCTACGGCCCCTCGCAAGCTTTGGTAGGAGATATCATTAACCTTGAGTGTGAAATTCCCCGTTCAGAAAATGATGAAACAATTCTTCTGACATTATACAGGTAAGTGGAGTCAGGTTGCAGTAGGAGTTAAACGCATTCGGAGAAATAAAGCAACAAGACATGTGCTGTAATTCCTGTCTTCAGGAAGGATGACCGTCAACTTGGAGACTACACCCTCCTGGCCGGGGAGGAGAAGGGAACCTTTCTCCAGGTGATCAAAGCTGATCATGAGGGCTTCTACGTGTGTGTCGCCAGCGCTCAAAACAACACTGAGATAAACGAGACCGTCAGCGAAGCATACTTCTTAAGGGTCATTGGTAAGTCCCGTTGAGGAGGAGGAGGAATTTTGCTGCATATATATATATATATATATATATATATATATATATATATATATATAAATATTACACAACACTCCAACTCTGGTTAATTTCACGCATCAATGGCAGGAATGTCTTATTTACATATTGTTAAATTCATAGAATAGAACTTCCTTTTATTGTTCTGCAGTGGGGAAATTCACCTTTTTTATCTTCAGGAAGGTGCTTTAGGATACCTCACAAATACATAATTGTATCTTAACACAAGCATTCAATGAATCAAATATGCACAGCGGTGTAAACAAAATACATCCATATTCAGATCATATCTTTGCATGTTGTTGCTTAGCTATTGAAGTCCACATTATTTAGGTTTCATAAAACAGGGCTGCACTATTGATATTACACTATGGCGTGGTTTCATGGGGAACAGGTTGGATATCACTGAAATAATCACATTATCTGCTAAATGAGTACAGAGAATGCAATTCAAATGCAATTCAAATGCAATCTTTGCATGTTCTCTTCTCTGACAGCTGTGGTAGTGACAGTTATGTGTGTGTTTCTTTTTTTTTTTCCGTTTGTTTTGTCAGCGCCAGTCGTCAGCGCTGAGATTGTTTACACGGGTCCAGCAGAGATCTATGAGGAAACCAAGCTGGAGCTGCACTGCAAAGTTGCATCTGGAAATCATGTTTCCTACGACTGGTTTCTCAATGGGCTCCTCGTCTCTCCGTCTCCTGTCCACTGGATCGGAGGCAACCGGTTAATAGTCACCAGGTCAGTGATGGCATAAAACAAGACTTAAAAGAACATGGCTTGAGTCTTAAAAGAAATCCTTTAAGACTCTAAATTATTGGATCTTTTCAAATGAACTGCAAAGTGTTTCAGAAGTCTTTGTTTGCTTGGTTAGAGTTAATATGATCTGCGTCTCTCCCAGAGTGTCCTCCAAAGATGGCGGCTCCTACATGTGTCAGGCTAAAAACGTCTTCAACGAAACGAGATGGTTCACCTCCAACAGCTCAGACCTCGCTATCACAGTCAAAGGTTAGAAGTCATCTGTGTTTCGCTGTGGCTTTCAAACGCAGCTAAACTGCTTGAACAACTCAGGTCTTGTCTGTTGCAACCACAAATTTTAATGTACTTTATTGGGGAGATTTTTTAAAATCAGCTCAGTCCAACCTGTTTCTTTCAGGAGTCTTTAGTAAAGTGAGCAGTCTAATCTCTAATTCGGCCGCTCTGTGAAAGAAATGTGCGATTCGAGTGCAATTCCAATCAAATGCATTCAAAATGTGTAACATGACAAAATGTGGAACAGCTCAGAGGGGTTTAATGCTCTTGTAAGGCGCCGCGTTTCAGCCCAGCGGAACAAGCGCTCTCCTCGTTTCTGTTCCCTCAGGTCTGGTGTCGACCCCTGACATCTCATTCACCGTGGTGAAGGAGGACGATGACAGCTATTCAGCCAGCATCACCTGCCAGTCTGAGAGAGGCGATCCGCCTATAAGCTTCTCGCTCTACATGGGCGACGAGCTGATGGTCAGGGAGAACGTTTCGGAGAGACACGCCACGTTCAGTCTTCCAGTGGTCCTGGGCCAGCACTCTGGATGGCTGCAGTGTCAGGCCAGGAACGGGAACCAGACTAAATACAGTCGATGGTTGCCTCTCGAAGTTGGTAGGTAATCGGGCTAATATAAAACTCTGCTGTGTATTTCTTACTCTGCAGATCTGCAATAAGTACTTACCAAAATAAGAGCCCTGTGCTCCTCAACCCCCACAAAAAAATCAACCAGAGTCTTTGCTAACTTCCTGCTGCAGTTAGCTGCGCTGCAGTACTAAATCTATCAGCATTAGGAGCTTAAGGTATTACTTCATTGTGTTTACATTCATTGGGGAGCGTTTCATTCAGCTGCAGATGGAAGAAATCCAATTTGTTGAGATTTGTCTTTTGTTTTTTTGTGTTTCAAAGCAAAACAAAAAATACCCATGTGGTTTTAATGTTTTTAAACTTAAATGTGTGCTAAATTAAAATGATTACAAAAACATAGTTTGATTTGATAAAATATATGGTTGTTGTTTTTTCATATTTATGTGATACTGGAACTGGTGAAAGGCACCAAAGAAGAAGAATGCACAGGAGATTATTGCACTTCGTATTTGTCGTTTACTTTTACGTAGAATGTTAAATACTTTTTGTTCAGAGTTCATGAGCTCTCAGTGAGATGCATCGACTCTATTAAGACGAGGATTTCTGCTGGTTTGGTTTAAGATGATCAGCAGTGAACCAGAATTGCTCTTGCAGTTTAACTCAAACTGAGGCAGCAAAAGTGGGCAGAGCAGCACAAGGTCGAAAAAGGTCAACGGTTACAATCCCTCTGACTTTGTGTCTCTTTGAACCTTTCTCTAGTGTCAGTCGCTGGCCCAGTGACGGTCCAATCTGAATACGACATGGGAAATAACTATGCCGTCATTGGCCTGAGGCTCTACTGCAAGGCGGCAGCGGGAACTCACCCACGTTTCCAGTGGTACCTCAACCAGAGGCCTCTACGTGAGCAGGGAAGCTTCTTCTATGTGGTGGATCTGCCGCCAGAACAGTCCGTCCTTCTGCTGGCCGTGGGGAGTCGGAGCTCTGGAAAGTACCGCTGCGAAGTGTGGGACAGCTTCGACAACAGCACGGTCATGAGCAGCAAGGGGCTTTATGTGGACAAAGAAGGTAGACGCTGAATGTTGCTTGAGCAACGTCTCCTTGAGACAAATCACTGACTGGTTTCCATTTTTTCCCCCAGTGCTGAATCGCCTTCCAACCTTAGTGGTGGCTGTGGTCTTCAGCTGTTTCGGGATTTTGATTTTCCTGGTGTTGTTTTGTTGTCTGTCAGGAGTCGTCTTCAGTAAGTTCGTCTGATTTCATATCTTGTTTGTCTTCCTTTGCTGTGAAGGGGAGATGCTGAGAATTTGTTCATCCTTCTTTCAGGGTGGAAACAGTCTCAACAGAAGTCAGAGTGAGTGTTTTTTGTTTTTTTTCTTGGAAAACAAAATAATCCAAAATGTTTTTGTTTGTTTTTTGTTGCTTTTTTTGGAGGAAAAGATAACGAATGACATCATAGATTCAAAATTAAAATAAAAATGTCTCTATTCCAGTTTTCTATTAGCTTCACAGCTGCTTTTAAAAGAATAGATTGCAGTTTTTGAAGTGAGGTTCTGTTGAAATATTATAAACCGTCTTCATGTGGGTTAAATCCAGCTCCCACAAAATTCATTCAGAACCAATTAGAATTTAGGATTACTAATTGCCAGAATATAACATCAAAAAATAAATAAATACTGACAAGGAATGAAAGGCCATTTAATGAGAAAGAAGCCATTAGTCCGCAAGCAGGATAAAATTTAAAAAAAAAAAAAAAAAAGTTACAATTGCAAAAGGACTCAGGGATAAAACTTTGCAATCATGTCTTGTGATCTAGTGAAACAGAAACAAATCTAACATTTTCTGCCATTTCGCAAACAGACGTAGTTTCGTAATCTTGACTGACCTAAAACAGCAAAGTTTTTCGTCTGATCTGATGTCATATTTAAGAAAAAAATACAAGCTGTGCACGTAAATAAATGGTTTCATCTGCATTTTCGTTCACAGACGAAGCAACGCTGTGGTGTATGCTTTGTTGCTTCTTCTGTAAAAAAACATTTTACCACATTCCACACCTCCCACTTCAGTTCCTGTCGATAATAAATACCCTGCACGTCTTCATCACGCTGTAAATTTGTTTGGTTGTGTTTTCCCAAACGGTTCTGCAGATTGGGTCTGTCAGGAGCTGAAACTTACATAAAATGGTTCTGAAAGGCTAACAAAGCCAACTGTGCTTAAACTCACTGTCAGGTCGAGTTTTGCGATGGACGAAAGACTTGTTGTATCTGAGAACGAGATGGTGAGTCAGCAGTCCTGCAAAGCTGAAGGTTTCCTCCACATCACTCCACCAGCCCACTCGCCTGACATAAATCTTCTCCTGCAGGACTGGACAGAGTACAACGAGGACCCCGATGTGGCGAAAGCACCAAGAGAGGACGAACTTTATCAGGTGACGGTATCATTCAGTGCAAAATTCAGCCATTATTAACAAATATTCAAACGATTTTTCTCATATCCCAGTCAGGAAGCTGAAGCCTCTGAGGACGAATGGCCTGAGATCCAGCAGGAGACGCTGGACAATGAAGCCGATGAAGACTCAAACTGAACTCTACACTAAAATGGCCTGCTGCCATTTTAGTGTAGATATTTGTGGTAATAGTTTTAGCAAACATAATGTTTTTATAAAAAATAAGCAGTGTCTTTTAGTCAAATATCTTGGACTCTTTTAGATTTTGTAACACACCAGCTTACTTAATTGGGATATTACACAATACTACATCAAAAAAAAAAAAAAAATCACTTTCTCACCATTTGTAACTGTGCTTTGCTGTTGAAATTCCCTGAAACCTGAATCATTTTCTGAATGTGCACACCAACCAGTGTTGTGCAACTAACATTTAGTTAAACATGTTGAAACTGAACCATCCATGTTCATAGTTCATCATCTCAAGACTGTTAACCAGGTTCACAGTTGGTCACTGCATTTGAACTCCCCTGTTGTTGTTGAAACACGCCACACAAATAAACTTGACTCGACACAAACTACGTTTTATTAATTCATCACCTTTAAAAAAAAATAATAAAACATCTCAATTCTCCTGTGAGTGGTATAGAGTTTGCAAACTGGTCTTTTTTTTTGTTTGCTTTTTGTTTGTTTGTTTTTTGTTGTTTTGTTTTTTTGCTATTTTTCAAACCAACTCACTGGATTGCTTGAAAAAAAATCCTGAAGAAAAACAAAGCAGATTTCTTTATATGTCAATGCTGAGCTGTGCAGCAGGAGAAATAGGAGGGCGGAAGTTGAGCTGGCCAAAGTTCACTGTAATTCTGGCGTAAGGATAAAAAAATTAAAAAAAAAAGCAATGTATTTGTGATAAATCACCACTGACCGCCCGTCCTTCAGGCGGACGGACGGACGGCTCCCCGGCGGCTCCGCCCCTCCCCTCGCGCCGCTCCGCCCCTCCCCGCGCGCGGCTCCACCTCAGGGAAACGCTCTCCGGAGGCGGCTGCGCTTCTTTCAGCTTCGGTTCCTCTCGCCCACACGCTGTCTTCTCTTGTCCGGGGGCGGCTTTCGGCTCCACTCCCAGGGTCCAGACATGGCGGAGACCGGAGGTGCGAGTGCGTACGGAGCCGCGCTGGCCGGAGTCGGCTTTGACTTCTACAAGTTCGTCCGACAGCCGCAAACTATCGTGCGGGTCCTCAGCTGGGTGAGTGAGAGGCCGAAGGAGCTCGGACTTTAAACAAATATTTTAACCCGGTGCGCGAACAGGTGGACTCTGGTTTTAAATAAATAAATAAATAAATAGACGAGCTGGAGAGTTAAAACTGGTTCTGCCAGCAGGCGTTTTGTTTCCCCCCTGCAGCCTGCGCGGTGACAGATCAACACTCAAGACAAAAGGCAGACAAATGTCATCGAGATTTTCACTTCCGGGATGAACTGAGCGTCTGAACGCTGCTGTTGCTCTCTGACCTCAACTCTGTCCTACTTCCACGCTGTGCAGTTGATAAAAACCACCGTGGTTGTACGCTGAGGTGCTTATGAGGAGAAGTGATCGTAACTCATGTGATCATTTTATTAAACATAAATTCGTGTCATTGTGTCTCGTGAAACACAGTAATGTTTACTGTAAGCAGGGCCGAACTGAGGAGGGCTGGAGCCACTTTTGGTAGCATCATCTTCACAACATTAATGAAGCCAGAACTGTTCTAAAAATATATACGTTTGCATTTAGGACAAAAACACTTGGTCTGTAAATATGTTTAAGCCAAAACTCCTCTAGTGCTACAGTTTTAGCTTCACCGGGTTCAAATAACGCTATGGTGTTGCATTTTAGGCAATAAAATGTTGTCCTTACTTTAAAAAAGGAGTTGAATCGTTTATTTAATGTATTGTAATATTGGATGTGAAGAGCTTAAGAAGTTAAACGACAAAAACACAGAATATGTATGTTTTTACATCAGTTTAATTGTCAAAATAAGCAGATTAATCTGTTACTAACGTAATTATTTGCACAATGTTGAGGCCTCTGAACCCACAGCATCCCAGGCTTCGCCTGATTTGGGTCAGAACAAGACTTTGAGAGCGACGGTTTCCGTCCCCCTGTCCTGAAGTGCCTTCCTGGTGGAATAAAACCACCAAAACTCTCTTTGTCTAACTGAGATACTCCTGGGAAGTGAAATCCTCCAGATTCAGAGGAGTCAAAACGTGTATTCTGCGTGCTTCAGATTAAGTTCTCCATTGAGGCAATCAGATGAGGGCTGAGAACAGAACATGCCATTGGCTGCCATCGTTGTTTACGTGCTTTGGAAACACAGTGTGTGTGTGTGTGTGTGTGTGTGTGTGTGTGTGTGTGTGTGTGTGTGTGTGTGTGTGTGTGTGTGTGTGTGTGTGTGTGTGAGGAAGATGATGATGAGTGTGTTGGTGGTAAATAGGGGCTCTGAACGGGGAGGGAAGGTGATACCTCCCCCCACCTGCTGACCCTTTCCTGTTACTCCTGGTCAGTTACTGCTCTCTCTGGGTAAATGCAGTGCATGCTTGCTGCGGCTGTGTACAACTCATCTGCAATTCCTTCATACCGCATCAGAGTCTATATCTGGTGATTTAAACCGAACATTAATCTTGTTTATTTTTATTTTTCTGGAAACATACCTCCGGGTGCCATGATGTGCTGCTGGATTGCAGTGACTTTTGTGATCTGAAATAAAGAAAACCTGCAAACGTCAACTACCAATGTTACCAACTACGGTTCATGCAAGCATAGTTTACCTTTTGCAGATGTTTAAAAGTTATAATCATTACTTTTCTGAGCTACAGAAGCCAGTGTAAAGACTTTAAAAATGGGGTGCTTTGCTCTAGCTTCCTAGTTTTAGTAAGAAGATTTTCAGCAGCTGTCTGATTGTTTTTTATTTCAAATCACACCTCTGAAGACACTATAGCATTAATCAATGCAACTATACAAAGCACTAGAGAAAGAAAACACATGGAGAACTTTCTGTAGATCTGACTGAGACATTTAATCTTGAAAATGTCCTTCAGGTGATAGAAGACCGACTTTGTTTTGTGTCACCCACATTTTGGGACCTGATCAGTACTTTCTAGCTGTAATAATTGGGCCACAGAGACTCAAGAGGCCGACGAAGTGCCTTGCCCATGGACACGACGACTGAGGAAGATGGAGTGGGGATTCAAACCCGCAACCCACCGGGTTACAGGTCAAACTCCTACCACTGTCTCCTGTTAAGTCCAACAGAACCAGCGTCACAAACAGCGGTGGCATGGTTCTTCCGCAGTCTGCGTTTATGCAGATTGAACACTTTGACGAGGGCGGTCCCGGTACTGTGGAAACCACGGAAACCGGACTCAGACGTCAAAGCGGTTTGTCATTATTGAGACGCGGTTTAACTATCAAATGATTTCGGTGATGAATGGCAGGTTGGAGATTGGCCTGTAATTCTGCAGTAGTGATTTGTCCAGATTGTTTTTTATCAAAGGTTTGATAACTGCTGTTTTAAATCACGGCGTTGAGATGGTAGAACAGTTTTGTCTCCTGATTGATATTGATTGAACACAACATTAGTAACGGGCTGGATAATGATGATTAACCCTCTGATATTCAGACTTTTCTCTGTAAGAAGCAAATTCATTGCAGTCACAGGAGGGTTTGTTAATCACTTAACAATGGCAAACAAGACACAAGCAGGATCAATATTTTTATTAATGATTTCAAAGAAGAATGATTCAGGGTTACGTGACATACGTTCATCCTTTCTTTCAAGAGTTTTCAGCGAAGTTCAGTTTGTGGCCATCTTTGTTTAACCTTTCGACAATTGTTTCTTTCTCTTCTTACTAGAGTAGTTCTCCATGTGGAATAGACATCAATAACAGAGATCAGTGAAATATTAACACCCTTACTGATAAGTCCAGCGTTTGTCCTCTATTGTGTGTTTCACGTTTGATGTTGGATATTGATCACTGTTTTCATTCAACCATGTTTCTGCTAGAAACATAACTAGATTATGCTCAGTGATAGTCATTAGTTAAAAATGACTTTCCTGACAAGCATAAAAATATACATTTGTTTATATAGGAAAACTTGCTAAGCCCAGTGGTCAGGGCGCTAGGGCAGTTTCCAGCAGCCCATCATGTTTTTGAGTTAAATGTTTGAAGTTTGAAAATATCACTTGATATTTATGCATTTATGCATTGGAAAACTGGAAGATCAATGGCAAAACACCAACTATAAAGTCTTAAAAAAGGCAGTAAAAAAAAAACTAAGATAAAGTAACAATGCCAAGCCTGGTGGGAGCAGAAGTAAAGCCTGGTGGGCCGCCAGGCTTATAAGGCACTGAGGAAAACCCTCTGGGTATAAAAACACAAAGTGCTGCTGTTCAATAAAGTGAAACACGATAGACGACAATAAGAACAAGAGAGCAAAAAAATAAGGTCGAACCAAAATACAAATATGTTCCACAAACTGTTACTATGAAAGAATCATAAACTCTTTTTGAGTCAAACGGCAGGAAATGAAAAGGAGTTTTGAGCAAAGATTTAAAAGTTTCAGCAGTTTTAGTGGTCTGTACATGTAAAGGTGAATTGAATGTTTTGTAGAGCCAGTTTAAAAAGTTCATTTTGAATAATTTATCAGTTGGAGGTTGCTTTAGACGGGGGATTAGATTTTTAGACGTATATGTTTTTAAAGGGGAAATCATGATCCTTTCATGGGAAATTATACATTTACTGTCTGACCTGTTATGTACCTTAAGCTTCAACCTGAACCTCCATTTTCCTGCTGCTTTCTCCTCCCCTCTCTGCTCCCATTATGAGTGTTGTGGAGGGAGCTGGTGGCATCTCAGGAATCACATGGCAAGCAGCTGCACCCAAAACAAGGTCACATGGTGCAGCGAGTAATCAGAGCGGATAGTGGCCGACCGCAACCACGGGGCAGAAGGGCGACAGGAGGGGCATTTAAAGTGTCGGCAGTGAGAAACAGGGCTGTTTGTGACGCAGTTTAGTCTCATTATATTACCTGACTGTGGAGAGCAAATACAAGATGCTTTCATAGTCCTGCCTCTCGTTGTCGAACAACAAAACATAAAGTTATGTAGCTAATATGAAAGCCAAGCAAATTCCTCATTTTTTTTAAACATAGCAATTAAGTTAAATTCATATTTTTTTAGACATTTCCTTTAGTGCTTTCATAAAGGGCTGCCAATTTCCACAAAACTTCAGACTAGCGGCAGCAGCAATTAGCACGCACCTTGTGGAACCGAGCACCGGCCGAGTTCATCATACAAACTACTTCTCCGTCAAACGTTCCTCAGAATGGTTGTAAGCAGCAAGATGGAGGAGCGTTGTGATGACTTGCTGAAGGTGGAGTGTCAGCAAGAGCAGGAGAGAGGCCAGCTTTAAAGTGTCAGAGCTCAAAAACAAATGTGTTTTATGTTTAGTATATACAGCATTTTTTGTAACGATGGCCTCTTTTTCTTTTTCTTCCTCTTGTGAAGGTGTTTGCCCTGGTGGTGTTTGCCTGCATCACCACAGAGGGGTATGTCAACCCTTCTAGCAGCGCCGAGGCAAAGTGCATCTTCAACCAGAACGACTCGGCGTGTCAGTATGCCGTGGGAATCGGGGTGATCGCCTTCCTGGCCTGCGTGGCCTTCCTCGTGATGGATGTTTACGTTCCCTTTATGAGCAACGCCCAGGACAGGAAGTACGCTGTCATGGCGGACCTTGGATTCTCAGGTGAGTGGTGGACTTCATTAGGTACAACAGCTGCATCAATCAGTGGGGTTATTTTTTTGTTGTTGTTGTTGTTGTTCCCATCCTCTGTAGTTTTTAGCCCAATTGTCAATCCAGTAATTTGGTCTCCGTTACATGGATTACATGTAGGTGTGAGACGATCTGTTTGTACATTTTATAAAAACGATGCAGTTGGTTCATACTTTAGATCCAGCAGTCTGGGGAGAGCCGCATCCTCCAACCTCAACTTTATGCTCGATTCATTCGCAACACGGCTGGGAATTTGAAATGATGAAAGCTGCTGTTGAACTTGACGGATTTTCAAATACGTGGTCACTTTATTAGATACACCTTCTTATTACAGGGTTGGACTCTCTTTTGTTGGTGAAGCTGCTCTGTTGGATCGAGATCTGGTAACTTGGGAGGTAACTGGAGTTCAGTGAACTCGCTGTCCCATCAGAAGAGGGGTTCGCTGTGGTCATACAGGGGTAGATGTTATCAGAGGCAATACTCAGGTCAACAGTGGGGTTTTATATGGTGCTCACCTGATATTAAAGTGTCCCAAGAAAAGATCCCCCCGACCATTATTCCTTCCCCAAATGGCTGTTTGAGCTATTGTTACCTTTTCTATTTTCCTTAACTGCTCAGACATCAACACAGACACGGCTACTGTCGACTGGGTGGTTTGTCTTTTCAGACCGTTCTCTCTATGCTCAACAAACAGTCAAAATCTCAGTCATTAAATTCTCACACCCGGCCGCCTCGCACCATTAGCCACGCCACAATCAAAGTCAGTTCGTTCTCCTGATTTCGCCTTCATGTTCGAAGACTAAATCTTCAAACGTGGGCATGTAAAAGTGGGCCGTGAGAGGAGGTTGGTAAACATTTTGCCCTCTGTTTCAAAGGGGGAATCTCCTCCCTCTCTGCTCGTCATCAGCTCGAATCGGGTCAATCCTCACATACAGACCAGACCAGCAGCATTGATATCTATGTCAATCAATGAGTCGGTCAACCAATCACTGTCCCTGACATAACGCTGAACAAGAAAGAAACAGGAAAACAACAATCACACATAGAAAGAAAAAAGAAAAAAGGCAGTTTTTAGGTCATGGATTCCTGAGAATCTGCATCGTTGTAACTTTATTTGTATTTTTGTTATATTGGGGTTTTTGTCCCTTCCTGAAAGTAGGCTGAATGAGACTGAGTCCTTGTATAATATAGAGGGCATGTGTGAACATTTGCACTCAATAATGCACAAAAATTTTAATTATACTTTTACCTTTTTGCAGCTTTGTGTTTTTTATTGTTGCCGTTTTTCATTTTGTTGTCTTCACTTTTTTAGTAATGAAATCTGTTTGCACACAGATATTTTGTGCTTTACCCACTTTGGGAGATATTTTGCATTGTCAGCAGATGATTCTAGTGTCCTTTTATAATCTGCCTTTAGTCTTTTGTTAGGAAATGTGAATGTATGACTCTATTAATTTACATGTACCAGTAGGATATTTCTCAAAGTTATTGAGGTTTGACCAGGAATAATAATCTGGGATCAGAACCAGACTCAGTGAAAACAAAAATTAAAATGTCCAAAAAATTGCATGCAATTAACTTGAAGTGAATGTTAAATTACATTTTAGATTTTTTTTTCTTCAATTATTATTCGCCTCTGATTCATTCATCAAAACACTAAAATATACTTGGTTATGAAATGGCACAAAGTTCCAGTTATGTTTAATGTAGTAATAATAGTAATAATAATAATGGAGGACGGCAGTCAGCTGTGTGTTCCTGTTTCTGCTGGAACACACAACAGAAACGGGTCAGTAATTAATTAATCTAAATGTGTTACTCCTCTGTGAAGCTCAATCTCCTGGCATCATCGTCATCATCTCAGGAATGTAATGGCAAGTTTTTCTGTGGTTAACTCTGTACTTACTGAGAAGCAGGGTGACCCGGCAGATTCTGATGAAATGCACACTTATCAGCTGGACACAACACATTAACAATCGACCATTCTTCAAGCTAACAAAGAAGTGTTAGTTTGAGGAAGAAACAACAGCTTGTGCTCAGCCGAGCATATGGATACACTTTCAGCTGTTGTTTCCAAGCAAATGTTAAGCTTGCTTGCTCTTTATGTCAGAGTTTTTACTTTAAAAAGCAAGTGACTGTTTTTTAAACGCTCTCTCCATGTTTTCCAGGGGTGTGGACCTTCCTGTGGTTTGTGTGTTTCTGCCTTTTGGCCAGTCAGTGGTCTCGCACTCATGATGTCAGGGCGATCCCCGAGGACGCTGCGCGCGCCACCATTGCCTTCTCGTTCTTCTCCATCGCCACATGGGTGAGCACAAAGGCCGCTGTGTTTGCTTTCTTGACGTATTCGCAGGCTTTTAGCGTTGGAATGGTTGACGGTGGTTGTTTATGAGCAAGAAAACATCTCTGAATCATTTACATTCACGGCTACCAACTAACCTGGGTAGAAAGCTGATGGAAAAATTCTGACCAGATGCGTGAATGAATTTATATTTATATATTGTTTAGTGACTGCTGAGACCTTTTGTTCTGAATTGAGATGCACCCAACACTCCAAATTGTGTGGCCAATTTGTCCTTGAAGACCTAGACCATAACAATATATAAAATCTAATTTAAAATATATTTCTAGCCGTGACTGTTTCTTTCATTTTAATCTTACCAGTTTGACAATAGTTGACATTTTAAACCACCTCTTACAACCTTCGTTAGTGGTTAGCACGGTTAGCATCAGTAGCTTCCATAAGTCTCCCCAAGAGAGGTTTCCAAAATAAAGCCAACATTTCCAAGTCCCGCGTTTTCTGCAACAGAGGTTGAAAACTCAGAGATAACGCAGTAAAAACTGCTGTACCAATCTTGGGCTTCTTATTACAAGTCTTGTTAGTTATGGTTAGTTTGACTATATTCTAATACTTATAACAGCTAGTCCTGTTTGCACAGTATTATTGAAAGCTGCTGAAGTTTGGTCACCTGGTAGCGCTTTGGGATGTTGTGTTCGCTGACTGAAAAATGATTGGATTTGAAAGAGGTTCTATCTCCACTTTACTCAGAAAAAGCTCAAGTTTTGGTCATTTCTGTCAAAGCTCTTTCCAAATGAAAGGTCCTGAATCTCTTCAGTGTGATTAAATCCTACATTAGCTGTAACATTTGTGCTAGCTGACAGTTTTTCTCTCTTTATTCACATCCTTGTTTTACTTCTCTCCTGATAGACGATGTCAGGAGAGAGCAGGTTTAGCTGCTCTGCTGTTGTCTCTTTATTGCCTCATTGGTCGCTCCTGTGGAGGCTAACAATGGTGTTGCACTTCCTCTGTTTGTAAAAAAAAAAAAAAAAAAAAACATCTAAGGTATCTTGGAATCCAAGCTAACTCTGGATATTTTTGGAAGCATTTTTTTTTACTTTTCTAACCTGTTGAGCAACAGTGGCTCAACTTTTCTCAGATCTTGAAAACGTCTTACCTTGAAAAGAAAAACAAAGTATTTAAACCTCTTTAGAACAATTGGCAAAATTGTTGCTTATTTAACGCCTTAAATGATTTATTTTCTGTGGCCTTTCTGTCCTTTTTGAGAGTATCTCATTGCCTGTAGCAGGTCTCCAGCGAAACGAGGCAAAACTCTGGAAGCTAAGCAGACGGGTTTGAAAGAACAAGAAGTCTCTTCAGCCTTAGTGTGATCACTGCGTTAACAGTCAACATTGTCTGACTTCTGTGTGCTGCTGAGAGCCGAGTCTGAGACACGAAACTCAAGATTTAATGTCACAGTTCTCTAATTTTTACTTTAGTGAACTGTATTGTGACTACTAATAGTCTGACTGTTAATTGGGAAACAGAATGATCACTTTGTCTGTATATACATCCATAAATGTGTCTGTCATCAGGCACACGTTCCTGCTGATTAAGGTTTAATGTGGAGCAGTTTCCTGAGCCGCTAGCATGCTTACTATTTGTTTTGATTGTTTCATTGCTGGTCAAATTAATTCTGACAGAAAAGGTTGTTTTCTCCTGCTTTACGAACATTATGCTACGCTTTATGCAGCAAGTTGCATAATACAGATTAGATGAGAATCTGCAGCAGCCAAAACAGTCACTTCATTGTTAACAATGGAAAAAAACATGGGTTGTAATGGAAAACACAGATTCAAACCCAGTCAAAATAAAGTGTACTGGTTGTGGTAGAGTTGTGTAACCAAACAGGAACGATGACCTTTAGCTGGATGTTCCCCGATTGCTAGCTGCTGTGATCTAAACTCTGTTTATTGGTGTCCCTTAATATTGACTGAGAAAATATTTTACTACTAACTCATTGCCCATCATTTGAAATGTGTCCAAAAAATGTTACTGCTAGTTGAATCAGACTGCCCTGCCAGTGGGCAGTGAATTAGGATTGACCTATACATATTCTGTATTTACTTACTTGATGAATATTTATGAAAACATGCACTAAACTGTAATTGAAGAACATCCACTTCTATGGATGTCTACTTCGAACAACATGGTCTAAAAAACTGTTGCATAACGGGGAGAAATTTTCAGGGATTTGAGTGAGTTTGACTGAATGATGTCACCAGAGTTGTGTGATATCTGGGACGATGAGACCTGCTGGTTTCCTCCAGACGAACAGGAAGCTGTGAATATATCAGCGTTCACAGGATTTTACAGATAAGTTGAAACATGTTGGTGTCAGATATCACACAATATCTGACACCAGCGCTTGTAGAGTCACATTTAGCTCAATGGACTAAAGTTTTCTGCTCTTAAAAGCATCTTTCCAAGCTTTCACCTGCGTTAAATCCTGACCGGTTACATAATTAACCGTCTTTGACTTTTGCTGGAACGTAAGTAGACGTCTTACCAGTGATTCTCTCCTCCTGCAGGGAATCCTGACTTACTTCGCCCTGGGCCGTTTCCGTCGGGGCATGGACGACGTCAGCATCCCCACCTACACGGATCCAGCCCCGGAAATCCACACCCCGTACCCCGCCACCTACGCTCCCACCACCTACACCCCCACCACCTACACCTACCCCAGCAACGTGCCCGAATCCCAGAAGCAGCCCCCCTTCACCTCAAACCTCCCGCCGCAGAGCGACACCAGCTACCTGCCGCCCAAATACTGACGCAGTGGAGGGGGGGGGTGGGTGGGTGCGTGGGGTCTTCACGGATGACGCGGCACTGCTGAGCTACAGAGCTCTGTCGTATCGATGCGGTTTTACATTCAAGTCAACACACTGTTCAAAGTGTCCGAGAGGACGTGAGCCTCACGGCGGCAGGCTGGAGACGACGAGCGAACGCCGTTTACGCCAAGGGGCCTGAGGTCAGGTCTGAAGACACTGAAAGAGGCTTGAGCAATGTGACCTTTGACCTGTGTGCAAAAGCAACATTTACCTCAGACGAACTGAATCTGCAGGTCATCGGGGCGTTGCAGTGAAAACGATCCTGCAGAGGAGCAACAATCAGTGTGGAGGAGGCCAAACGTGTTTCTCTTTACTCTAGAGACGGGATGGTCACGTGCCATGTTGTTTTGATTTTCAGGATATTTTTTCTCTTTCTTTAAATGGCTCAAAAAGCTATAGTAATACAATTTACCAAATGGGTTATGAGGTTTGTGGAGAAAAAAAAATACAACCTAATTTAAATTATTTTATAATCATGGATTCTGTAAAAATAACACAAATCCTGTGATAAGTAATCAGAAAAGGTTTTCCTTTCCTTTGCTGCTTAAACTCATTAAAGCCATGATTGAGCATTTCCACCAGACTATTAACTGTATTAACTGTAACAGACGTGTGTTGGTTTGAAAAGGTTTACATGTGTTGAACTGACCTTTGAACTCGCAGCTAACTTTCCGATGGAGAGGGAGGAGCTTGGAGATAACGCGGCACTTATTGTACAAGTCTTTCCACTGAATGTTTTCTTCTTCTCTCTCTTGTGCAGCATGTCTTCCTCCACCGCCCAAAAACAGAGCAACAGCTCCCTTCCTTGGTTAAACACTGACTTTTTTATTTTCCTGAGACGGGATGGGTTTCTTTAATGAACAGGCTTCAAAGGTACAACTACAGATCACTAAAAACTGCTCTCTGAGCTTGCAGTTCATTTGCTTCGCCAGGTCTGTCTGGTGTAGATCAGGGAACAGTTTTGGTTCGTTGGGTAAGCCGAATTTAGACCTGCGAAAAGATTATGTTTTTCTTGAGTCATCTGTGAACGGTGGAGTGGCGTCTGTCCTTTTTCATGCCAAATGTGCATAAGTGGTTCAGAGAAAGAGGAAGAGAAGACTTTGTTTGTACCCGGAATTGCCTTGCAACATCACTCCGGCGGTCAAAGATCAGATCCAGGAGAGTTCCTGTGCTTACAGCACCCTGCAGAGGTGTCCATACGTCCCATTAAATCTTGCTAAGACACTCTGGAGTTCTGGGGGTGTAGGTTGTGGGAGGGTCACAACTCCTAAGCTGGTTTGGGAACTGAAGAGTTTAAAATGTGATTAAATCCTGTGGTAATATTCTTGAGTTGTAACAGCTGTGTCAAATGCTGAAAATCTAGTTCTTGGCTCTGTGCATAAAGTTCAACTGTGGCATCTACAGCAGCTTCTTTTAATTTGTCACTTTGATCGGCTTGTTTTGGTTTTGGTTTTTTTTCCCGTAGAGCCGTAAATGACGTGGGTCTAAAAATGGTGTGGCCAAGGATTCGTGATTTACTCAATTGCAGCAAATGAGCTCTGAAATATGTGTAAATAATGTGCACCTTGTTTGTCTTGCTTTAAAAATAATAAACAAATTGGTTAATGAATGGAGAAACATCGACATAGCATGTTTTAGTTTCCTCTGGTTGTGTATTCAATGCTCGCCTGGTAATAATCAGCACCTTGTCCTAATGTTTGCTTCATGCAGGAGACCTGGGATCTCGGATATTGAGGAACAGTTGCTTCCTGGAGACTTTGCCAGCGATTAGGTTGCTAACCTCACTTGCTGTCGTTTGCCCGCGACACAGTATGTAGTACGCCATGAAAGCTAACCCAGAAATTGCCTGCGCTGTGAACAACCAACCTTCAGAGAAGTGTGGAACTCAACAAGATGGCTGTTGATGCCAATTCAATATTTGAAAAAGTGACCAATGCAGACTTTTTGGATTTGTTCACTTCCTCCGCTGCTATTGCAAAAGCTACAGGCAGACAAGAACAGCGTAGAAACGCAACATCATCGCTCACGATGACTTGCCTGATGGGAGAAATCCACTTCAATGGGAGGAATCCCAGACGGAGCAGAGAGGTTAGATGAAATAATATACTGTTGCATAGGAAGGCAATGGTCAAGCCAACTCAGCATAAAATCTTGAGATGTCAGAAAAAGTTTTCCCCAGTTGTGTGGAACACTGCTGACTGAAAGAACGTCACTATGCTTTGTCTCAATGTCAGATTGTAAAAACTCAAACTAAAGCTGTGTTTGTGTAGTAGAGCCACACATCACTTGGCTAGCTGCAGGCTAGCTACACCAGCTGCTTAACCAGCAAGTACCAGCTAATTATATTATGAAAATGAATTTTAACATTCTGTATTTTATATTTTTAAGATGGAGGTCAAAATGTCCAATTTTGCATCATGTACTTCTACAGTACATTACACAACTCAAGACTTTAAATGCAAAAGCGATGAAAACTATACCCGGCAAAGGAGGCCAAGGTCAAATTCAGAGTGATTAGACGAGGAAGTCAAAATCTGTTCCTATTTCAGACATTAAGTTTTCGACCCTGCTCACTGCAAACCAGCGGCTCGCTGCAGTGTGGTGGGTCGCTAAGATTTAAACCGGTTATTTTTATCCCCACTTTGCTGAAGTGAGGCGTTGGATTACACATCTCTGGGTGAAGAGGTCAAACGAAAGTAAGTAATGGCGGTACAGCCACTGTCAAAAGTACTTAGACAAAAAGCAATAAAAGTGTCAGATCTGAGTTTATTATACAATTTCTGACGTCAAACGCAGAATAAAACGGATGTCTTCTGGATTTGACAGAAAAATTTTTTCCCTTAAAGAGAATTTAAGATTTTATATCCCACGAGGCAATACCACACCAAAACTATCAGAATTAAACAAAAATGTTTATTAAATAGTAAGTTGTTGCAAATCATGCAAACATAAAGTACTTGATGTCTTTCAAGCATTCAAAACATCCCATCATTCAGACAAAGTTTAGAATATTGAGTCGCGATGTTAATTCATCACAAAATCAAAAAACTCAAGAAAAACAAATACAACTGGACACACATCTCACACACAGCAGATTGTTCAAATTGATGCTTCAAGTCTTATGTTTCCTGCTCAGAGGTGCAGAGGGGAGAACAGTTTCCGGGGAACGCTGGGGTCGGCGAGTTTTCCCGTCGGCACGTGAAGCGGCGTTTCGGTCCTGACGGCGGAGCTGTTCTCTTTGTCCACCACCAGACCGCCGTAGCACGTTCTGCACACCGCCTGGTACTTGTCAGCACCGCCGATCACCTCCACCTGTGGAGGAGGAGTCAGTCCAGTTGGGTTTGACAACCAAATGTAAAACGATCTGCTCCACTTTGACCAAAACTCATTAAGATGAGCCGGTCCGTTTGCCCGGTCTCCTCACCTCCTTCTCTGCTCCGAGCCTCTTGGTGTAGGCGGCTTCTTTGTAGCACTGCATGCAGACGGCGTGGAGCTTCACCACACTTTCTGCCAGAGGGACCAGGTTCAGAATGTTTCCAAAAGGCTGGAATTCAGTTTGAGAGAGAAAAATCATAAAGGAAGATGCAGAACATCTGACAGGTTATAAGTCGCATCATCCTAAATATAAGAAAGAAATGGTACAAATAAGAAAAAGAGAGGCAGGAAGAAACAAACCGCAAAAGACGACATAGAAACATGGCCTAGCACTAAAAGAATGGCGACTCAACAGCATCACAATCACAAGAAAGGCGCTATTGTGTGTGGAATAATGAGCACACTCGTTCATCTGCTGTTGCAGCTGATTGTTTGTATTGCGTCTTAAAAAAAAAAAAGGAAAAAAAAAGTTCATTATGTGGGACGTTTTGTGACATGTGCCCAGCATGCGTCAGCACCCACCTTCCTCTGGAACGTCCCGTCCAGCGCAGCCACGATGACCGTCTTCCCTAAATTGGCCATCTCCTCACAAAACTCCACGGTGTCCGGAAACTACATCCAGGAAACGGAGCAGGTCAGAAACGGGTGGTTTGTCTCGCTCACGTGGAACTCGACATTTTTAAACTGTGTGACGAACGTCACCGTTACGACAGAAATACAGCAAAACAAGCCCGTTTGCCCACAGAAGGTGCATTTGGATCAGTGCTTCTTAAATCTACCGTGTTTTCTTTTGTGGATGAAGATGGTTGATCATTCCAGTGATGGATTTCACCTGTTTGCCTTGAGGTTATATTTGCCCTCACTTGGTGCATTATAAACAAAAATTAACTAACCTACTGTATATTACAACTATCTGACCAAAACCAGGAAACAGGTGGCGTAGATAAAAGTTACGGTTTCAAAACAACTAAAGACAAAGTTGACGCAACATGATTTAAAAGCCACTACAGTGTAGCACCTTTAACACCAGCTTTTCGACACGTTCTCCGTCATTTTGTCTTCGGGTTCTCCTCCCGTCTGTTTGCTTATCTCCATCTTGTGGTTTTATGTCACAATTCATCAGATGATGACCAACTCACCACTCCATGGCTGATTTCACAACTTTCTACAGGAGTACTGACACGCTCTGGTTTCCACAGTTTGTTTATTTCAGCAACTATGGAGGGCTTTGAACCATCTGAAGTGGTGCCGCAGCATCTCATTTGGATCTGAAGGTGGACTTTAACTAGGCCAGTCCTAACCCTTTGTTTGTTTTCCATGCAATGCAGTGGTGGAGTTACAAATTGTGCCATTGGAGACTAAAGCCAAAGTGTTTCCCAGATCATCACACTACCACCGCTGTGTTTGACTGAAAGGCCATTTCAGTTTTACGTAGATCACTTTCCAAAAAGAGTTACACTTTTGTGTCATCTGTCAAAACACAAACATGTTTTTCTTCCCCAAAGGTGTTGATTTTTGTTAAGGTGATTGAAGGCTAAAAGGAGATTATTTGCAAACAAACTTACAAACTGTCCTTCATCGATCCCAATGACGCAGGCATTCAGAGCGGCGGAGCGAACGTCTCCCAGACAGGTGGCAGGCACGGCCTCCATGGTGTTTCTGAAACGGCAGCAAGATTCAGCAGAACAAGGTTTCATTACGAAATGGAAACTCGAGAATTTTCTGCCTTTAACGTTCTGAAACAAAGCAGTAGTTGATTTTTTTTTCACATGCTGAATTTTTTAATTCAGTAACTACAGCTGGGACATGGCAAAAAAAACAAAACAATTTATCAAAATGAATGACATTTACCAAAGAACATTAATATGGTCAAGCAGTACAAATGGGAAAAAATTAAGGTGTGTGGTTTTATCTTAATAAAATGATTGCTTTTGTTTGTAAATGCTTCATCGTGAAGGTCACACCCCACAAGGATGATCTGATGCAGTCTATTCGCTTTATTTTGTCATCTTTTACTAAAAGTGCACCAAGGATCGAAATCAATTGAAGGCCATAAACATACATGTTTGTATGCAATAGCTAGAACATTTTCATTTTAATGGAAAACTAGTACATCTCAGGGGAGATGGTGGTTGTAGTTACGACTGAGGTCACTGAGGTCAGACCTCAAAGAAAAGCAGATAACGACTTCGGCCAGGAAAAGCCAGGTCTCTGCTTTTCATCAAGAATTTGACAAGCGGTTCTGTAATAATGGAGTATTAATAGCTGTCAAATTTAATATTTGTCATCAAGCATACTCATTTTAATCTAGTGGTCAGTGACATGTGACAGGAAAAGTTGCTGTGATTGAGGAATATCACCAGCAGGGGTCAACTCAGGCTCAGTTATTTCTGCCAAACTGTTTTCATCAGCAGCCACTGATTTCTGAACTTTAAGCTATATGCATTTATTCATGATAATAACAATACTAATGTTAATAATAATAACAATAATAATGCATACATTGTGGTACGTACAGAAGGCACAAAACATGCTGAATCTCCACTGCATTACGATTTGGTGTATTTTTTTCTTCCTCATAGTCTTCATCGCATCAAGTTTTATACTCGAAGATTAAAAAATATTTGTAAAACAAAAACAGAAGCTTACTTGTCATGTGTGGCCACGCCAGAGTCTGAATACCGGATGTCTTTGGCATATTTGATGACCAAACATTTGTACTGGGCCACCTGGAAACGGCGCACTCTTCTCAGCAGTTCAGTGCTGCAAATTCATTCATTAAAAGCAGAATAATCAACACTGTGACCAAGACACTGGTCAACAAAGACGTATTAGAGTTGGGACAATCGTTTACATAATTATTTTTTTTTAATTATTCTTGATTCAACTATATAATAATAATATAACTGTGCTGTGAGTAACAAGATCTGCACTTGATCATATGATTGCACTTGTTTAAATGTGATGAATTTAGACCGAAGTGTCTGGAGATCACGTTTGTTGTAATGCAGTGCAATCTAAATAAATACAAATATAAAATATAGATCTCTTTTAAGTCCTAAAGAACTTGCCAATTTGATGTAAAAGCATAGCAATTGTGTGTTTTGCACAAGAAGGATGAGAATGAATGGCAGAACAGTAAACAAAGCAGAATTGGCGGGATGGCGGCGTTGAAGCGGAAATCAAAGCAGAGATCATCCTCATTTTGAACACCGAGGATGGGTAAAACTGAACAAGCACATCAATTAAAGCTATATATATATACATATATATATAAATCACACACTTTGTGGTAAAGGTCATAAAAGAACAACTCACCTTTTGCCTGAAAACATCGGCCCAAATATAATCTAAAAACAAGGACAATTGTGTAACTGTTAAACACAGGAAGAGGATTAGACTCCTTTTACATCCACAGCTGGATTTCACTCGATTTTTGATACATTTTAGGTTTTTTTTCCAGCTGATACGAACCTGAATCTGTCCTCGGGATTTCCTCGGCGAATTTTGTAGCCTGATTGGACAAACTGGCGAGTCGAAGAAGTCCATTTTGATTTAAATACACACTTAATAATATATTACAATAAATATAAGTTAAAATACAAAGACGCTATGCTCCTTGTTGCTAACTCAGGATGTATGGAAAGTCTTTGAATGAGGCGCGCTATTGTTGGCCATTTATCCTACATCTCCACCAATAGCCTTATTGTCACGTGTCACTGCGGACCAATCAGCTCCGGCTGTCAGCTGCAGCTGGGCGGGCTCCCGCCACTACTGACCAATCAAATTACAAAGCTTCTTCTTTTTTTTCATTACAGTATGACGGGTTTTTTGTGTGTGGTGGGAATTGTAGACCCTTTCCAAGATCCGATTCTCTTAGCTCTCAGAAGAACCAAATTTTTTCCGCTCTCAAACGAATCCCTATGACTACTGTTCAAGAATGGATTTTAGCGTGTTAATCTAATCCCTTTACAGCAACTCCCAGTAATCCTTACAAAGAAAAATCACTTAAACGAGAAACTTATAACAGACATATATGTAAAAGGCATAGCAGCTAAAATAGCACACAAACAATGCAACAGTACAGGGTGATATTGTTTCTGTTACCATAATTTAAGGCTTTGTAGAAAATCTATATAAACAACATATCATTTACAAAGGCTTGCAGCAAGAGAGTCATGGGTTCAAATGGCAGCCTGGGGTCTTTCTGAGTGTATTTGGCATGTTCTCCCTGTGCATGCAAACAATACTGTTAGGTTAGTTGGTCTCTCTAAAAATTGCTGGATATCAGGTTACATTACATTCTCAGTTCCTGAGATGCAGCTGCAAGTTGAGAAGAGAACAGAAACTGCCACAATCGTCTGTTCCTCTTTTGTTTTCTCTTTCCCTGTTGTCCAAACTCCAGCCTGATAAAACACTAACCAAGCAAAAGGTGTTGTGCAGCCGTGAACAGTGTGTTTACACAGCGGGACTCTGCAGTCTAAAGTTCAGATCCTCAGCACATGCTGGTCAGATTCACTCCTTCGCAGCAATCCGAGGTATTCCGTCTAAGTAAACGATGCACTGGACAGAAATGAAGAAAGACGTAAGAGTTTTCGACTTTATCCTTTTGTGCTTTGGTTGCTGACAGGAGATAGAAGATAATGTGAAGCTGGAGGAGTTCAGATCACTATGAGCTGTGATTTGACTGTTTATAGAGTTTTTAGATACAAATGAGGTTTTCATTCTCGTTTGATTAACAAAACAAAGGGAAAGATTTATGAACGTGATATGTTTATTTCAATTGATCGGCTTCGACAACCTTTGAGCAAAGATTCCCAGTGATCAGACTGATGACTTTGCTCAGTGTTTTTACTGGTTGTGCAAATAGTTCAGATTAGTCAGCCATGTGACTCTGTAGAGTTCAGAGTATTTAAAGTAAAGAACCGAAAACAGACGGAATCACTTTTATCCCAAAAAGCAATATCTTTATTTTAAAAAGAGGAATATGAATAAATAAATACAAGAAAAATAAATAAATAAAATATTTTCAATAGTTTTTAAAATAGTTTGAATTATTTTAGTTGGTTGAGAATCACATTGTTGGAGCTAAACAAAAACTTTGATCCATGCCATATATTACTGATTTCATTTTTCTAAATATAATATTAAAAAAAATGAATGAAATGTGACAAACTGCTAGTAAAAAATGCCTGAAGTTCTGAGTTACAGTTGTCTCTGCTGAGTATTTAACAGTGTTTCTCCTTGAGTGACTTATAGCTTGGAGATAAATGGCTTACCAAAACAAATAACTCAACAACCTGCACTTATGTAATATTAAAAGACCAGAAAATGAGGGACAAGCAGCTAAAGTAGACACAAAATCTTCCAGGGATCCTTGGAGGATAAAAAAGAGGAAAGTTAAATAGACATTTTGAAATATTCCAACAGAAGTCAGGGCCAATACTTCCAAAATGTCCCGGTCTTCATTAACGAAGATAACTTCTCCTTAATCCAGTTGTTGGAAAGCCGGAGCTTTCTGTTGAAGCTTGTGATGATTTGATAAGTGTGATTTGGGTGCAGTTTCAGTTGCAGCAATAGTCTTTCCTGTGAAACCTTTTTCGGTGCAAAGAAATGACAAAAGAAAGTTTCCTCTGAGGTAACTGCTATCACAGAGAAAAGAATTTCCTCCAAGCTCCACTCCCTTTAGATGATCATTCATTCTGCTCTTCTGATTCAGTGAGTAAGGCAGAGGCAAGACAACTTTATTGCCTCCCTTCAATGATAGGATTATAGAAATGATTGGAGCTCAGTTGGTAGCAGAACTAAAGGAACCTGCAAATGATTAGAGAAAATGTTAATTAACTTTACTAATGATTTACTAACTTTATCAGATGGAGCATTTTAACAATACAGACGCATTCCACTCTGCAAACAAAAAGAACAAAGAAAATTATTATTATTATTATTATTATTATTATTATTATTATTATTATTATTATTATTATTATTATTATTATTATTATTATTATTATTATTATTCGCAACAACAATCTCATAAACAAGCATACATGCAGTTCGGCCGTGTCGCCAGCAGAGGGCGCTGTTTGTTGTGTTTATACCCCTCCCTGCCTGGTGGTGTGCCAGCTCGCATGGCGGCGTAGCGGCTCCCAGCAGCGTCTTTCTGTCAACAGGAGCTCGAGAAGCAGTACTCACCCAGCAGGTGGTCTCACAGGATGGCGGCGGACGACGTGATCAAGGCCCACGTCAAGGCTCTGAAGGAAGGTTTGTTTGTTCACCGGCGACGCGGTAACTTTGTTTTTAATCTGGCAGACGGACGGCGCTGCCGGTCGGAGCGCCGGTGTTGCGCTCAATGTTGTGCATCCGTAAATCTGAGTGCATCTGAAAGCCCCGTCGGATAGTTATGAACGAGTTTGGAAGTTTGAAGCGATGTGTGTGTGGGGGGTTTAGGCAATGACTGTGATTTTATTAGCTTAAAACGCGCTAGCTAAGCTAAAACATGTCTAGGTTTTTATTGTTCATGATTGATCACACAGTAGGAATTAACAGTAATTGTATTTCCACAGTTGGGTTTACATGTTGACCACACACATATGCTACACGCCTGCTGTTTCTTATAGTACTGAGAGACTCACCACTAACATATGACTACATTATATTGTCTTTTGTTTTATTTGTAGAGATTTAAAATATGCTTTTATTGAAGATCTAACATAGTAAGATGCTCCTTCCTTCCTTCTTTCCACTCTTCCTCCACCCACCCCCTTGTTCTCATGTATGTATGCATATTCTAACACCCTTGTTCTCATGTATGTTTTAACACCCTTGTCCCTAGACAAGGGGTGCTGGTGCCTATCTCCAGCTAACATAACCATGCACACACACCTCACATCCAGGGAGAATTCAGAGAGACCGATTAACCTGACACTCTCGCAGCAGCCTGGCGACAGACTTGTCCACCAAATTGTAAAATTTTATTGCACTGATTTATTTATTTTTTTCCCCCAACCTGTCGCAGTTAGAAGAGCACAGCTCTAATGATTGGTACGTTCCTTTATACACTCCAAGGTAGTTTTCTTGAAGCCTTAATCAAGTTGACAGGTTCAGAAGGAAAACCCACACCTCTCTCTTCAGTCCATGATGGATATATTGTCTCTTTAGTGCTCAGCTATAATGCTTGGGTTTCCTTTAGTGGATATTCAGGACAAATTTGCTGGACGAATGAAAGCAAAATGTTGCTGTTTATGGTGTTCGCTCTGAAGGAGTGACCTCATCCCCCACCGTAACCAGTCTGAAGTTTAAAACCTGGTGGAATAGTTCGAATAATGTGTTCAGTGACCAGGATAACTACTGTCAGTAGCGCAGGTTAATAATAAGCTATTTCTCTGTTACTTGTGCAGCCAAACACTGTAGCAACATGCTCACCACATGTGGTCATATCATGCCCTTTGTTAAAAGTGTAATAAATACAAACCATTTAAAATAATTTACGTTTTACATATTTCCCAGATTGATTTGAAACGTTTGCTTTAAAGGTGTCTCTTCCATCCTTTTCTTTTCGATTCTTTGAATTCGGTTCTCTCCTCAGGTACAGAGCGAGCCCGCAGTCTGGCTCAAACTCTAATCAATGTTCCGTACGGAGAGGGAGACGGAGAGAAACTGGACGTGTACATCCCCAAGACCGCCTCTTTGGGTATGGAGCCGTGTTTCAGATGTCCTGAATCTGCTCCCGGATAACCAATAACCGGCTGCATGTTCTCTCTCTCAGACGTCAACCTTGTTATTTACATCCACGGAGGCTACTGGCAGTTCCTCAGGTACCGCTTCTCACTCTATGCTTTAGTTTCTAATGTAAATGAAGACGTCGGGTTAAAAGAAAAAAAACTTTGCAGCAAAGAGGAGTCTGGATTCATGGCTGTCCCACTCGTTGATAAGGACGTGGTTGTGGTTGCCGTTGGCTACGACATTGCCCCCAAAGGTAGAGTCGTTTCTGATCTGTGGATAAAAAGTTAATCTGAGGAGATGCGCCGGAAATGTCATCTGTGTGCTGTGCTTCCCTTTAAGGTAACATGGATCTGATGGTGTCTCAGGTTCGCAGGAGCGTTGTTTCTGTCATTCAGCAGTACTGTCACATCAGGTAAACACAAAGACGTATTAATAGGAAAGTTTGAAGGTCGCTCACCATGGTGGACGTTGCTTTCACCAGAATCAGCTCCGGTGTGTTAAATAGGCTCTCTGTGGTTCCTTATTCAGTGGTCTGTACCTGTGTGGCCACTCTGCAGGGGCCCACCTGGCCGCTATGGTGCTCTCCACCGACTGGTCCCAGTACGGCGCCACACCAAACATCAAAGGTACGTCGCAGAGGATCAGGCCGGCCTCGCTGGTGCCTTCAGAAAGATGGGCTCAGATTTCATTTGTTCACCGTCGCTTTCATTTTCCTCCAAGGGGCTTTCCTTGTGAGCGGCATATACGACCTGCTGCCCATCCTGTCCACGTACGTCAACGAGCCTCTGAAGATGACCGAGTAGGTTCCATGTGCTGCTCTTTTCCAATTTCTTGGAGTAATCACACTTTGGGGGAAAAAAAGACTTTTCTACAAGCACAGAATCCTTGTTACACACTGTTAACTTTGAAACTGCTGGCAGAGTTTGAGTTTTGCAGATAAGTAGGCTGATAATTTAAATCTATTCTAATGTATCTGATGGAAAAAGCATTCAGTCTGTTGGTAAGAGGAAACATTTATTCCTAGCAATCTACTTTTTATTTCTCATAAAACCTTTTTATTGGTAAGCCTGTCGCAACAATCAACTAATTATACTATTAATTGAAATGAGCTTGATCATTTCTTTGTTATGATCAATATTTTTTGAAGGACAATTTTCATCAGTTGCATATGGTTTTTATTTGTTTTGGGTTGTTTTTTTGTCATTTTGGACACCTGAAATGTCTTCTGAGGATGTGTCCACAATGGATGGTTCTGTATAAAATTAAAGTTTTTTGGTCTTTGAGAGGGCGAGCTTCTATTGCTATGCCAGTACGAACATATTGCATCAAAAACAGCAATATTTAAGTTTACTGCAATCATTTCTGGGACAATTTATCCATCCAGCAAAAATGTGCTCTTTTGTCAGGCCCATCTGTTAGTCAGAAAAGTTGTTCAAAAGCTTAAAATGCAAATTTGCCTGCTAGGGGAATCATAAACCAATGGCCCTTTAAAACAGATCGGTAATTATTGATAACTTTCACCTCTTTGTATAGTCCAGACAGTTTTAATCTATGGATTTCAGATTGAGTCAATGCATTCTGAGTGAGTTTAAAGTTTATAAAGGTAAGAAATGATTAGATGAGAGATGAGATTGTTGAATTAGCTAATCAAAATGAGTAAGGCCTTCCAATTACTCAGACTTAAGTGGGATAATCAAAAATAAAAATGAAATCATAAACTCAGATCTGGACACAATTGGTTGCTTTTTGAGATCTTTCAGTCGATTGGCTGGTTCTGCTTAATTGATTCCTTGACTTCATCAGTTCTGAATCAACAGAGGGAGAAAATACACCCAAAAAAAAGAAAAAAAGTGGTTGGTCCCAGTTAATGACTGACTTTACTGTCGATGCTGAAAGGGTTAATTTAAGGCTTAAAAAAAAAAAAAAGCAGATTTGATTTTAGACGTTTTGAACTCCTGCTGTGACTTCTATGTCCCGGTTCTCCCTGAAATGGTGTCGGCTGGAGAGCATCATGCGGGAAGCTGTGGTGGTCAATGTCGTCGTTGGCGTCTCTGTAACCGCGCCGAGCCGGTGCCAGTCATTCCTTTGTGTCCGCAGGGAGGTGGCGGAGAGAAACAGCCCTAGCCAGCTGGTCCCTCAGCTCAAACAATCCTCGTCGGGCTGTCAGATCGTCGTGGCCGTCGCCCAGAACGACTCGCCGGAGTTTCGCAAGCAGTCAGAGGAATACTACAAAGTTAGTGGCCACAGCCGAGAATAAACACTGCTGGGAACGGCGCGGGAACGTTTTCTCTGTTGTTCAGATTTTCGTGCACGGCAGAAGCATATTTCTACTTCATTCTGTTTTGAAAATGTCAAGCTGCCTCTCTGAAATGAAACCAGACATAATTGCTCTCGTCACTGACTTCTCTGACTTGTGTTTGTGTCTCTCAGGCTCTGGAAGCAGCAGGACTGACTGTGAGCATGGAGGATGTGGCGAACACAGACCATTTTAGTATCATTGAGCAGCTGGTAGATGGAGACTATCACCTGACCAAGGTACACGCTACCTTCACGTTCTGTTACGTTGGATTTTGTCAATATGGTGAATTCGTCAGTGTTTAGCTGGCTCTGAACATAACTAGACTTTTTATTTCTTTACCCTCTCCTGTTGTGAAAAAAGGCAGCTAGCTGTATCCGCGGTCGCATCACAGAACTGGAAAAAATACATTTTTATGCTGATCCTGAGACACCAGTGTTAATAACATAACAGTGACACAGATCTCCATTTTATTTACGATTGGGCTTTGACTAGGCCTTTCTAGCAGATGATTATCTTTTGATCTCATGCTTTGACTGCATGTTAAGTGAACTTTCATTCCAGACTTTTGTTGCCACGAATCAGTTTTTTCAGGATTGTCCTATTTTTTTATATATTTTTTGATATCATCATCAAAACGACTTTGAACTAATAATATAAACGCTCAATAAATTTTAATTTGTAGTTGTAACCTGACAAGATGTGAAAAATCTTAAACCGTTTTGTTAGATATTGCATATTTTGTCAGAAAGAAAAGACCTTAAAAAGACCAGAGAACTATTGATAAACAGCAATTTAGGGAATTTTAAAAGACATTTAAACTGTTCTTTATATCATAACACAATGTAAGTATATTTCATGACAAAACGCTCTTATCATCTACAGGTTGAACCTGTTGAGACATCTGAACATGTCAACTTAATAGCTTGTAACTTTCGCTTGTAACGTCAAAAGCTGCAACTCTTTACTTTGATGGCTTCATTTCTCTGCAGCTCCTCCTGAAGATGATGGGGAAGAGCTGAAGTGTTCAACAAACCTCTGATCAGTCCCAGTTCACCCACAATGAGAAAATAAGCATTTCTCTGTGGTTAATGTTCTTCTTTTTGGTCATTTTGAGATAAATCCAGGTGACGTCAGTTGTTCCGATGGTTTAGTTTACATTATTTGCAAATGTTCGTCGTCAAGAAGTCCTGACTGAGCTTTGGATGTGTGGAACACCTTCGCTTCACTGCAGTGCGTCGTGGCAGAATTCACCTCTCAGGCTCGGCCGCTAACAGATTGCTGCACTGCTGTGAAGGTTGATGTTGTGATGAAGCATGATACCACTGCACATTAAATATTTTTGAGTGGACTGTTACTCCGCTCAAAAATAAGTCTGATTGGGCTGGGTAAGTCTGACTGATTACTGCTGGTTTTCTTTTTCTTTGACAATCTTCAGTAAAACAGTAATTGCGTATCATTCAACATGAAGGTAGCGTTTTCCCTGAACCTCCAGCTCTGCACCGAGGTCTGACCCGGGAGAATTCTGACGTAACACATGATGATGGTCTATAGCTGTTCCTGAGCCCGATATGCATTTGCAGAATTTTGATTTCCAGACACGAGGTTTGGTTCAAATTAAACCGTAACAGTGACACTTTGATTTGCACTGCATTATTGTAGCACCGCACATTGTTTTAACAATATTTACGTCATGTTCTGTTTTCATCATCATCGTAGAATACAATAAATATTTATATTTAAGATAACATGTGGTCGATTGTTTCTGTTTGTGAATTCAGTGACTCATCATTTCATAATAATTTCAGAGTGCTCATTACCTTTTAATCCAGCTGAACTGTGATCCAAAGAACAGTTGGTTTGGTAAGGGTTAACAAACAAACTAGTATTGTAATTGTTAATATCAGACTTCATAAAACAAATCTAATGAAACGGTAATTTACCAAACTACGTTAAATATCACTGTGCGTTTGATTTGTCTGGGAACGACCTCAAACAAAATAAGATCATTGCAGATGGTAGTTTCAAATCCGATGAGATTTGTTGCTGTGCTATTTACAATCAGATGATAACACTATTCTCTCTAACCATCCACCTAACTACGGACGGAGTACAGTCGGATTGTGTACTGTAGAGAAAAACATCAGAAGTAGAAGTAGCATTCCTTCAACTCTCGATGTTTTATGTGTAATTAGGCTCACAATTTAAAACAATGCGTTTCTCTGTTTTGGTTATGCAAACATTGCAAAAACATGTACAATTGTATGGCATGATGTGTGCCTCTGTCAAATGTGATAAATGCTTCATACCAGCAATGTTTATAACTATTTGTGTAGACATTTGATACAGAATTCAGGGTGGTTTTGACCTCTGACTTTCCAAGCTGGCATTCATTGGACTTTACTGTTCTATTTCTGATTGGAAATAGAACAGTAAATAATGATCATGAGTACAAACAAAACATAGCAGCCAAAACCACTATCAAAATACAAACATCTTTAACAACGTTGTTGCTTTCCTCAATATAATCTACTGTATACATTATATTGCCCCTTTAATTGAAAAAAGAAGAGTGATCCCAATTGAGATTTTTTGAATTTATTGATTTACTTTATACTTTAAATACAAAAATAAACAATTAAAATTAAATACATATATATTGTTATTTTATTAAAATTTTATTTATTTATTTATTTATTTTGACCAGAATGACTTTTAAGTGTCTGTTATCTGTTTTAACACACAGATGTGGCTGCGTAGAAACCACCATGTTTTGTCTATGACGCTGAAGAGCGGTTAGGCGCCCTTTAACCCTCACTGTGCAGTCGGGAGTCCCAGCAGCGGTTCCTCGGGTGGAGGAGGAGACCGTCACCGGCCAACAGGGCGTCGCGAGAAGCCTCCGCATCAGGTGAGCTGCCGGGGCAGAAATGGGGGACGCGGGGTCGGGCGAATAGACAAGTTGACGAGCAGCGTCCTTGGTGAACCGGGGCGAAATTTAAACGTCTACAACTTGCTGTCGCCAGCCGATGTTAGCCGAGCGGCTAACGAGACGTCTTAGAGGTAGGGGAGACACAACTCTCCGCCCGCGTGAAACGCTTGGCCGCGTCGGCATAACACCGGACATTTCGGCTTAGGGGTTTTCAGGAGCTTATCTGCGTTCGTTTAAACCGGCTAATTCAGCCCGCACCGCCAAAGTTTATGAACCGTTTCACCGGTTTACGTGACCCCAGACTCGAGCTCACGGTGGAATTGTTCCAATTAATTTTCTCGTCGTTTACACGCGACAAAAGTTGTCGAGCGACAGTTGAAATAGTCTGACAGAGTTCGCAGCACTCGGCCGATTCGCGACATTAACTGTTGTGAACGCTTCGATGACGTAACTTTCTGCCCCCTTACGTAACGTAACGTCCCACCGGCGTAAAGCAGTTAAAACCGCAGATGACGCCATACTTACGTCACACTTCAATATGAACGATATTTTAGGTTTCTGAAAATCCCCTGCATGCAAAAAGTTGACAAAAATATTCAAGACATGCTTAAAAAACTATTTACGTATATCTCTTCTTAAATGAGGTCATTTTTTACTTGTATCATTTTGTTTTTTCCCTCTCTTTTTAGGGAAAAGGGGAAATGAGGGTATTTAACTCCCTCTCTTTTTCTTTGTGGCTTTGTTGGAGTTTGCCATGTTTTCATTTACTTCCTGAGAAAAGAGTCCACTTTTACTTTTTCATGTCCCTAAAAATGCGTTTGAGAGGATTTAAAGTGCAACTTTTTCTCCATTTTGTGGGGAAAAATTAATTTCACATCAAAATTTTAACTTTTGCATCAAATTCATCTATAAGCTGTATGCTGTACTTTCTCATATCAACACTAGAAATACAGTTCTTCAGTACTAAGAAAACCAAGTTAGTTTTGGCTGTGAAACCGGAGATGGTCTACAAAAGGGTAAAAGAAGAACCGCTGAACTCAATTATTCATGCGAACACAAGGGCCGAACAAGCGGGTTTCTCCCAGGGATGTGTGCAGAGCAGAACGACGTGATACTAGCAGCCTGTTCAGGGGAGAGGAGGCAAAGGAAGGGTGAATAGTATAATTATTTTTTACACCGCACAAGAAGGTTGAGTTTTGGCCTGTGGCCTGGGTTATGTATTCAGCAGCGACAAAAAGCTCTGTTTGTTCTGTCAAGCCTTGCGTGCTCAGTTTAAAGAGTCGACAAGCACGAACACGTTCACAGAGAAGCGGCAGATGCACCGGGGGAATTATGTGACGTAAGATTATCTGTTCCACCCAGATGACTTCTTGGCAAATATTCATGTGAACCTTTTTTTTTTAAATCTTGTAGAACCTAGTCAGTATATACATATACACTTGACAATTTTAAGTTGTTTTAGGATTAATATTCTGCTTAGAGTGTATATGTTTAAATTGTCAAAGATTGTTCAGAAGATTCAAAATTGCTGGGCAAAGATTTGCTCTATTTGTCGCTGTTTGGAGTAACATGGAGGGTCACCTTGGCCCAAAACAATAACAGATCTCTTCTTTCAGCGGGTACCACGACTCTTTACCTATTTAAGTTTCTGACGGAGATGAAACAGTTTGAGAATAACAGTCTACTAAACGTTTTAAGCTGTCTTAAGGTACTTCACAGGACAAACAGTAAAGTTAAATCAAGGAGAGAGAATTTTGTACAACAGATTAGTGTAAAAAATTATAAAATGGATTTAAAAATAAGGACAAGTGTATAATCTTGACAGCAGTTCAACACGTTAACGAATGAAGGGTGTGCTGGTTCTGTTCCTGATGGTTTGGTACGTTCATGGAGTTCTGTTCCTGTTTGGTATGCGGTCTGCTCAGCCCAACAAAGCCCTGTTGTGAATAAGGAACAATAGGAACAAGAGCCCATTTTAGCAGCTTGCCCTCCTACCAGTTGATATTCTTTTCCAGCTGCTATGAAAGTAGTCTCATACTTCAAAAAACCTCAAACTTTTCAACTAGGTTTTACATTTTGTGGAAGCCTGCTGACGTTTCTCCTTGTTCTTCTTCTCCAGCCGGTGGAAGTTTTCATCTCCGACCCACAGCTGGCTCCAAGGATGAACCCGACACTTCCATGAACTCCTTCGGTTTCGCGGTTCGAGGCCTCCCCCTGGCCTTCGCGTCCATGACGCAGGCCACTGCCTCCGACCTGCGCTTCCATCCCAGATGGAGAGCATTAGTTGTGACCGCCCTGCTGGCCTTGGTGCTCATGCTGTACCTGCATCGGACCGTAGGGAACGCAGACGCACCAACCGGAGGTAGTTTTCAAACTCGCAGAGAGGAGGATGTGAGTTCACAAAGACTCTCTTGGTGTCTAAAGAGGAAAAAGCCCTACAATGACACATACCCGTTGAGTCCACCAGAGAGGACACCGCATGGCATTCGCTACCGTATAGGAGTGATTGCCGACCTGGACACGGCATCCCAAAGCTCCAACGGTCAGACGTGGTTTAGCTACATGAAAAGAGGCCATGTGACCGTTTCAGAGAGCGCGGACAGACTGGAGGTGGAGTGGGACGCGGACACACTCACCTTGGAGAGCAGTCTGGCTGAGAAAGGACGAGGTACGTGACTGAAATCCTGCTTCTACATACGGATGTGCATGTTCATATTAATATGTGGTGCAACGCTGTGCCTGCAGGAATGGAACTGTCAGAACTGGTGGCCTTCAACGGTCACCTTTACAGTGTGGATGACCGCACAGGCGTGGTGTACAGGATTGAGGGAAGCAGAGCCATTCCCTGGGTGATACTTCCTGATGGCGACGGCTCCGTGTCTAAAGGTCAGTGCCAAGGCTGAGGAACGCCAAAGATCGACGACAATTCCTTTTTAGAAAAACAAAAGCTGAACGTTTAGTTGAGAACTTTAGTACCTTCCAACTGTGTTCATACCTCCTGAACTTTTTATGGACCATTGTACACATGAATATGCCTCAACCTAAACCGTTCCACAGTTTAGGTTTGTTGTCCTGTTGGAAAGCAAACCTCTGAGCTGAGGACTATCAGGTATTTAGCTCCGTCCTTCTTCCCTTTAACTCTGAGCTCTGCCTGATCTCTGTCAAAGAAAAGCACCTTCATATTATCATGTGTTTTTTTTTTTTTGTCGTTGTTTATAAATGATTGTATGAACTGACTAAAAATCAACAAAACATCAGACTGTCTCTTGAAAACTTGAAAAGTCGAGAGTTGTCTTCCTTACTTTTGACTTCGGTTATTTGGTTTGGGTTGGTCTGTCACACAAAGCCCCACGCAGTCTATTCAAGTCTGTTCTTGAAGCAATAAGTTGAAGAGCGAGGAGTACTTTTCCAAAGAATTGTTTGTGGTTATGGTCGATGCTTTCATTTTCTGTGCAGGATTCAAGGCGGAGTGGCTGGCAGTGAAGGACGAGCACCTGTACGTTGGAGGTCTGGGGAAAGAGTGGACGACGACGTCCGGGGAATTCGTCAACAACAACCCCGAGTGGGTGAAAGTGATCGACTATAAAGGCGGCGTGGAGCATGAAAACTGGGTGCCTTATTACGCCGCCCTGCGGAGAGCTGCAGGGATCAAACCACCAGGTGCATGTCTGCCGTCGATACCATCCGATGTTTGCGCGAAAAGACTAAAACCTGAACCTGAGCCTTGTGGAGCACCAGTTTGAATCATACCGTTTTGATGAAGCATTACCCACATTCACAAACAGAAGTTCTTGTCAGGATTTATGCTTCTTCCTGAAGTCATGTGTTTTTATGTTTTACTTTAATACGACTGGTTGAAATAAGTAGGTCAGTCCCCCCCGACCCCCTGGCAAGCTTTGTAGAAGCTTAACAATGGTCCATTCATTGGATTTAGGTGTGTGCAGCAGGAAAACATTTGAAGCATGCTGGCCAGGGGTCACCAGGATCAAAGCTGTAAAACTTGAGGAACAACTTTCTGATGAAAGCTGCTAGGCCACCAGCCAATTTCTGTGTAAACATTTTATTAAAAATGTTTTTGTAGGAAGCGGAATGTAATGTTTGGTTTTCATGGATGCTTCCGTTGAGTTTATCTGACACAAAATGAAAAAAATGTATTCATAGAATAAGGATTTGTCCCGCTGTATTTGACATAATGAAATGTTTCTGCCTTAAGGTCCTGGATAAAGTTAATTCAGTTTTGTGACTAGAAACGATCGTCCCACTCAACATATGACGTGGACGTGCGGCAAAGTTCGGTCAGCGGGGTAAAGTCTGAATGAAGTCCTCTTGCGCTTCGCAGGTTACCTCATCCATGAATCGGCAGCTTGGAGCGAGCGCCTCCAGCGGTGGTTCTTCCTACCTCGCCGTGCCAGCCACGAGCGCTACGAGGAGGCGGCCGACGAGCGTCGAGCCACCAACCTCCTCCTGTCCTGCACCGCGGACTTCAGACACGTGACCACGCAGCGCGTCGGACCTTTCGACCCCACCCACGGCTTCTCCTCGTTCAAATTCGTTCCCGACACCGACGACCAGGTCGTCCTGGCTCTGAAGTCGGAGGAGGACGCAGGCAGGATCGCCACATACATCATTGCTTTCACACTGGACGGACGGCTGCTGATGCCCGAGACCAAGATGGGAGATGTGAAGTATGAAGGGCTGGAGTTCATTTGAAATGTGGCAGGGTGAAAGTTTCATATCACGTCATGCTAGAGAGCATCAAGGGTGTAACGTTTTCTGAACGCACAGGTGAAAGGTCAACAGAACAGCTGTGAAAAACGTGCTTCTGCTGATGTCTCCTGTCGTCAAACGCTAGAGTCAAACCTACATCGCCTCGGTGCTGCTAGATGTTTTTTTATTCATTTAATTTTGAGAAGAGACCCGACTGGAGTTGAGTCTATAACAAAAGGGAAGAAAATAAAGTGCTTTTAAAACAATAATCGGGATTTACACCAAACATCAAAGCTAAAATATAAAATAGTTTTTTTGAGATATATATATAAACAGGTAACAGTAACATTTTCTAGTATTATTTAAATGGGAAATGGTTTGTTAGTGAGGCAAAATGTGTTTTCCCCTTTTCATAAGGTGCTAAATATTTTCTGATGATGGCATTTTTCATTACTGATTATGACAAGCACAGCAGTCCTCTTCACTGTGAAGGATTTGATGTTTTAGAAAAAAATGTAAATTATTACCACAGGCGTTTCTGCCTCATATAAGTGAACATTTAAAGAGATGCCTGTCTGCGTTTCTTCATTTTGCTTGTTTTATAATAGCTTTAGCTTTCATCATCAAATTGGATTTATACCAGGGGTTTTCAAGTCTAAATACTTAAATACACTACTGAGAAAAACAAACCCCATGAGCGGAGATCTGTTCTTTTGAAAGGCTTATGACCCTCTCCACACAATGCTGGATGTGAACCTTAGTTCATTCAAATTGTTTGATTTCTTTGCACAGATTATAGACTTGTTTGGGTCGAAGTCAGAACCATTCCAGAAGCTCGATATTGTCTCCTTTCACTCTAAATCCTGTTCTGATGCTTGTAGATTCATTTCCTGTTGGAACCCAACTGTCTCCAAGTTTCAACCATTTAGTTGTAGATTTGAGGTCAAGAGAAAGAGTTAGGTGGCAAGTCTTCTGTTGTGTGCAATGCAACAAAATGGCCACACAGCATGCTGCTGCCACCACCGTACTTCAGTGTTGCCATGGTGTTCTTTGGTTTGCACAAAGCCTCATCCAGAACCGGTTTGGGCCTGTATGTTCCTGTGTGGACTCAAAGTAATCCAGAGTCATTTCAGACGTGCACTCCCACTTTTCTTTTTAATTTCACATGTGTTTATATAATCTCTCCACACTGAACAAACAGCTCAACTAATTTGTCGTTATAGCGTTTCTATTTGGAATGACTATACAAGCATACATTCCATTTTCAGTGTTTGAGATGTATAAATTTGCCTTTAAGTCACACTTTGTAAGCATATTACATTTGTTTTACTCAAAATATCAACAGCAGTAGGCTTTTCACATTCAGATGCAGTGAAAGCACATCTCTGTGCAGCGTCGCTCAGCTGGTCACTCAGGGTTCAACAAATGGAGAAGAAAAAAAAAAAGTGTCCTTAATCTTAAATCCAGTCCTGTTCGTGTTTTACTGCCGAGAAGCCCTGAACTTGGTCGTGTTGTTTGATGATCCCTTCATATGTAGAGACATGAAGCACGGTTACTGAATGAGGCAGGAAGTTTGTTGTTGCTGATCTTTGTACATCTTTATTTCCTTCTCCAAAGTTAAACTTTTTTTATGCTTCTAAAGCGAGAGAACAAATTTAAAAACAGTGAAATAATCAAAGATTAATTCTTAATATATTCTCATTGTATGGTCAAAATGACAAATAAAATGCATTTTTTAATTGTCTTGGTGTGTGAGAGAATGTGTCGCCTTGATAAACATCCCTCTGAACTGAGAAACGCTAACGATTCACTGTGGATGTTTCCGATTTATTGAAAAAATATCCTTGCAGACACAACGTTGACAAAACGTTAAAGAGCAGGCGAAAGATTTGATTCAAACTGATGAGCGCCGTTTACCAAGATCCTGAACGCTTTCGCGTTACTGAAACTTTGCTGCCAGGACGACGGCATCCTGAGGCAGACTCTTGCCCACGGGAACGAGCTTCAAGGAGCCGAGCTTGGAGAAGAAGTCGAGCATCCTCCGGTCGCTCTGCCTCAGCTCGCAGAAAACCCCTCTGGAGCCTGGAGGTTAAACAGAGAGTCAATAAGAGTCTGTCTTTGATCAAATTTAACAAGATACTTTCAATTCAGGAGTAAGTACACATTCAGGCAGGTCTAGTTTTAAAAATAAGGTGACGATCAGGATCAGAGGCGGCAGCAGAACTACAGCATGCTTCTAACGAATGAAGTAAAAGTAAAAAGCAGCCATCCAAGAAATTACTCAAGCAAGAATAAAGTATTTGGTGAAAACAAAAAAGACTAATCAAGTAATGAGTAACTCATCAAAACATCAATAATTTAATATCAAGAATCAAAAGAAACTGAACTAAAGTATGTTATGTGGAAATTCTAGTTTTTAAGGACCAAAATGAAAATCTACAAAACTTTTACAAAAAACACAAACTGTTTTCCAAAAAGATTTTACTCCATATAAAACTTGAACAAAAACTGCAGGTGTATGTCTGGTGACTTTTAAAGTTAAAACAAGCTAATTCTCCATTCAGCGAAATTACCCACAGTGGGAAGGGTCAGAGTAGCGAAACTTTGTACCAAAATTACTCAAGTAAAAAGTTCAGAGTAATAATACTCCTACAAGTACATTTTTCCCAGAAAGAATGTAACTATTTACTACCCGACTGATCATGACTGATGTAAAGTAAAGCTGCAGGAACAGAGATGGGCAGGTTCTCCTTTAGACCCAAATAGATTTGAGTTTTAGCGATTAGCCCTCAGAGCTTTGAGACGGTGCGACTTACCGCTGCTCCTGATGGAGGACAGCAGCTGAGTGACCATACGCCTGGCCGGGGATGGATCAGTGACCCGAGGCAGCACTTGGACCACAACCAGGGAGGGGTAATCCTCCAACAAGGTGTCACTTCCTGACCTCTGGAACCGCAACGCAACATTCGGACAAGTCAGACTTTGTTTATTTCCACCAACTGTTGTAGAAACTTACTCTGGGATCGTAAGTTTTGACCACCTGCTCTGTGCCCGCAGCTTGTTTGGCATCGGTGAGCGCCAGCGCATAACCACAAACCCCGATGTCATCCTCCACTACAAGAGCGCACGAAGGAGAGGGGGCGACGTCCCCCGAGGACAGGCTGCGGACGGCCAGCAGAGCACATGAAGACGCAGCTCACAGGACAAGGGGAAATATTTACAGATACTCGTCACTGATGGCGAGCTGACAGCTGCTGTTGATATTTTATGATTTCAGACCTGGGAATAAATAACTATCAAGATATTAGCCTGAAATGAAAAGTTACAAAAGACAAAATAACAATAGAAGTGGGTAAAATGAAGCATTCTTACAGAGGGAAGTACAAAGAAAAGCAGTGTTACTAATTAATCTGTTATCTTCTCAAACATGAGCACTTCTTCGAAAAAGCAAGAGAAATTATCCCGTCCCAAATTCACATCTTTCAAAGTAAAGCTAGTACAGGTTCAGAGAAACAAAGTATAAAACTCCAATAAAAAAATATCTGGGTTGGCTATTTTTTTCCTAGTTTTTTGGAATGATCAAATCTTAAAGGGAACTCTTAATTTATATCTGGTTTGAGAATATGTAGCCACTCTTTTGGTGCCATTTCCCCAGAAACAGAAACAATAAATATTTTTTGGGGAGCTTTTTCTTACCGGTCACTGATGAGTGTAGGGCTTGGTTCCTCTCGTCTCTGCATCTCCTTAAAAATCTTCTGCACCTCAGCCTGACAGAGCAGTTTTCACGTTAGGTCGTATGTTAGATACAACCCAAACGGTGCCTCAGCGCTGGACCTCACCTCGTCGTTGCTGCAGTAAGGACGTATGCAGTAGACTGCAGTCATGGGAGGGTGTTTGAACAGATCCCTGTTTCCGTGTCCTGGAAGCATCCTCTGCAAATTCAAACGCCAACGTTTTAACTTTGACTTTCTCCAACTTCGGTTTCCTCGTTTCCTGCGGGTGTTGAGTCATTGCCGAATATCATTTTGGAAGAAGTCACTTCCCTGGTTTGGTTACCTGGAACTCTCCGGAGAGGCCTCCTCTGAAGCCCCACGGCTCCGGGTCGTCGGTCAGTGTCTGAGCGGAGGGTTGATCCTGACCTCCTGTGGAAATAAACACACAATATAAACTTTAATAAACACCAACTGGCCAGCTAACATGTACAGTTTTTTTTTTAAATAGTTTTGGTTCATTTTGACAACAGTTAAAGAAAATAAAACACAAAACAGGTTTTATGTTATAGCCGTCATTTATTATGGGGAAGACTCAACTTCAAGTCTGAGCCATAAATAGTCATTGCTAAAAAATTTTAAAAAAGGTTGCCATTTCACAGTTTCACACTTGGTACCTCTCAAAAGTCCCCTGACTTTTAATCCCACAGATAATCTGTGGCTTGTTATCAAGGGAACTGCAGGGCTGTGACCACTTGTCACAGCAATTATTATTGTTATTATTATATTATTATTATAGGTTGACAAACATTACCAGTTTTAATATGGCTGTTTGGGAAACTAATCACAAAGAACTGTGTTTTGTATCACTAAATTGTACCTGCATTTAATTATATTTTAAAATGTAATGATGCTCTCAATGAACAAACAGGATAAAATAACAGTAAAGCTAACAATCCTGATAATATGGGCAGTTTTGGGCGTGTTAATCATAATTGGATAAATTTAAGTTCTTATTGTGAGTCGTCACAATAAATTAAAAATGATACGATAAATGCCTTACGCGATATAAACATTTTTAGAGAGACAAAATTTTGTATTTTTAATCAACACAAATAAAATCTGGAAATGTAATTTAAAAAAAATTTATGTATAAAATATAAACGTTTTAAAAAAATATTAATAAAATAAACTTCTAACGATGTAAAACTTTGATAAATTTTGATCATTCTCGTGATGCATCCTGCCTGCTAAGTGTTTTTCCAGCAGAAAAGGTTTTCCCACCGAGAGTCTTGACGTAGGCCCGAGCCAGTCCGACGCCGCTCTTGATGTCGCAGATGTAGTTGTAGAGGTCGTACAAAATGCTGCGGTTCGGGGCGTTGGACAGACGGTTGAACATCTGCACCACTGCCTCGCACATGCCGTCGAACTTCCCTGCCCGGCCGCGCCACTGAAATGGAACAGAAATATTTCATGAAGAGAACTAGGATGCAGCAGGAAGTGCTTAAAAGAGCCCTGCCCGACCTCTTCCGTCTGCGCTGCGGCAGCCTCACGGTGGGTTTTGAGCCAGTCCAGCTCCTCCAGCATGCTCCTGGCCGCGGCCCCGTGCTCGTACGGCAGGTAGAAGAGGTCCGACAGCAGGTTCAGGTCGTCCAGAGTCAGCGGCTCGGCCGTGTACAGCGGGTTGTCTCCTGGTCCGGGAACGTAGAGGCTCTCAGCCACGTCCGTCTGCATGGGCTCCTCGTCCGGCGACGCTTTTCTGAGGCGAGCCGACCGACAAGCACCTGCAGGCACGAGTCGATTGGACTCCTGTCTCATTGGTTTTTCCTGAACTTTGAGTCTGGCTGTACTCTACCTCCCGGCTGATCTGCGCTCATGAACTCCTGCAGCCAGTCTGCGAGGGCCAGAGTCAGGGCTTCCTGAGGGCTGTAGCCTGGAGGCAGAAACAGAGAAGGTCGTTCTCAGGGTCAAACCACATTGAACTGACACCTCATTCAAATGATGATTAGAGGTAAATCCAGACTTTTGTGGGGTTTTTTTTCACATTTATAACTTTCTTAAAAAGTTACGGATTTTGTCACCAGTCTGATTGTCTCAATCTCAAAGTACCTTAGTGTCCAAAGCTTCAAAGATTTTTGGATTTTCCAATCTTCCTTAAAAAAAAGGTTGTTTGGTCATACCTGGAGACTCGTCTCTGGTTTAGTGTTTGGACACTACAATGGTATAAAATGTGTATTTTTTAATAAAATAGAATTGTACTACTCCTTAGTGGTTTTAATGAAGAAAACGCTGATGATTTTGGAAGGTACCATAAACCAGGAGTCTCCAGTTTACCTGTAGATGTGACCCGGTGCCCCTACGTCTCACCCAAGTACAAGACAAAAAGCAGAACTCACCCGTTTTCACATCACTTCCTCCTCCGGTAGCTGAAGATCTACACCATGTTGCCAACGTGTGGATGGCCACGAAGTTTACATAAAACTCACAGTTGGGGTTTGTGAGCACGCCTCTCAGTTTAGGAATCAGCTCGGTGGGTCGATCCTTCATAAAGATGCAGCAAAGCCGATCATTGATGAGCTCAAGCAGGCAGCAGAGCTGATTCTGCTGATAAATACCTTAAACGGTCCCAGGAAGAGCCGTTGGGGATCGTAGTCATTGGCATGAATGTTGTCCCAGATGACCGGTGCCCTCTTCAGGACCGCCGTCACCTCCTCTATGGACTCAACTGAGATTTTGTTGGACACCACTTTCGGACCTGAGAAACAGCAGCAAAAGAACTGAATAGATGGACCCGATCTCTGACTAATAAACGTGGAAATAAACGGACTGCAGCCCCACCAGTCCACAGTATGTCAATCCCAGGCAAGAGCTTTTCCCCAACGGTCTGCAGATACGAGGACTGAGGCACATTGGGTTTGCAGAAAGCAGCGCAGTAGTCTGGAGACCCAAAACGAGTCAGAAGCAGGGGATAAAAAAACTACAAAAAACACCACATTTAAGCATCATTTGCTGTTTTAGAGGAACCTGACCTGTTGGGCAGAAGAGGAAGGTCTTGGCGTCTCTCAAGTGCTGGTACACCTCGTTGGTGACGGCCACCTGGGCGTGGGCGAAGGAGCTGAAGGCCTGCTTGTCCGCTGGACACATCTCAGTCTCGATGTCGTCAAAGAGCAAAGAGAAGGACCTGCAGCCGAACTCCTTCACCTGAAACGCGACAGCTGTTTGAACAACACGCTGGGTCGCTCAGCAGGATGAACTCACTAAATCTGAACAACGCCACTGTGAATTTACTGACTGCACTTGATCACAATTTGATGAGAAGAAAAAACTTGTTTCTGCCTTCAAGCAGAGAGTTACATAAAGATATTTTTGATCTGCTGGTAGAATCAGGGCAGGAAGAAATTTGAGTCTTCAAGGGCCTTCTAAAGTTTTCACGCCCTTCACTGCTGGTTTTCTATTCCAGTGTCTAATTCAGTACTTTGTAGGTCTGTCTGCCTGTGGCTCCAGTTATAAAGTCTTTTTGAGGTCAGTCTATATAAACTTCACACATCGAGAGACTGACATTGTTGCCCATTTCTCTATTACAAATACGTCGGGGTTGTGCAGACTGTCTGCAACCATCTTTTTTTTTTTTAATTCTCAAGCATTTGATCTGTACTTTGACTGGGCCATTCTAACACAAATATGCTTCGATCTGAACTAGCTCAGTTCTCTGCCTGCAGGGTTCTGCTGGAGGCGAAGCTAAAAACTCCAACCGGCTTTCTACCACGACTGACTTGTTTTCAGCTCCATCCTACATGTTTTGTGGTTGCAATATGAGAAAACCTTTGAGCCGGGAGGAAGTTTAGGCACCGTGACTCAAAAGGTATAACAGCTCAATTTTTTTATACCCACTCGTAAAACAAATCCTCTGGGAACCATAAAGCTAGATACAGTCAGTGGTTTCATCGAGCCTGTGTCTCAGCTGCCAAAGTCCGACCTGGTCCAGCTTCCTCTTCAGAGCTGCGACCTCCCTGGGGTTGGAGAAGGTGATGTCCAGGCCCGGAGAGATCGCGTAGATGAACTCCACCTGGTTCTTTTCGGCTGCTGAAATCAGGGCCACCAGTTGCTCTGGGAGGAAGGGAAAAGATGGAGGCAGGTTCTTGACAGTTTCCAACACAGATTAGCTTCAACACACTTCCTGATAACGTCCAAGGATGAGATCAGGCAACAAGAGGCATTTTGGTAAGAATAACGAGGCAGTAAAACCTGAAGGATTAACCTGAGATTAGACCATAGATTCAGAGGGTTAAACATCAAACTGCAGTCTGAAACATCCCTGATAACAAACAGAGATGCACCAAGCTTAGCGTTTAAACACTGTCTCCACAGAGATAAAGAGGACTCAGAGTGGGACTCTGAATTACTCTGAGCAGCTGACCCTGGAAGACGGGTCAGCTGCATCCTGTGATCATTCTGTAAATCATTCAGTAAATCGTTTCTGTGTTGATGTGGCCATACATTTAGTATCACTATCCTGCTGAAAGATCAAGTTGGTGCTCCATTTACAGCCAACTGTCAAAGGCTAGCAGGTTTTCGAGTATAACAGGCCCACAGCATCACAGAGCCTCCGTCGTACGTTATACTGGGCATGAGGTGTTTTCACAGCAGCCCACCTGAAGTATTCATTGTGACAAAGTTTAATCTCATCGTCTTGGCGTAAAGATTTAAAACTTTAAATATTAAAGAAAAAGATTGGAGAGCAGCCATTTTCTTGTACACTTCCTTACTTGTAAAAATGAGCACTGACAAACTTTGTTCTTGTCTTGTGTTTCCCATTTTGAAGAGAAATTATGCATCTCTCATTACAGAAAGATGTGGCTTTGTAATTTAGAGCTTCTCCAATAAAGACGCTAAGTTAGCATGGGTGAATTGAAAAGTTCATAGAAAAACAAAGATGGGATTTTTCAGAATTGTCAATTATTCTACTGCAATAACAGCTCTGTTCACACACTTTTACCAGTTTCTCTAAATTGCCCTGAGCTATGAGGGCGTGTATCTGTGACGGTCAGTGGTAGTGGCTACAGGCATCGGATGAATGCATGAAACTGACCTGCCTCTTCAGGAGAGTACAATTCTCTCCAATACATCCGGTGTTTGTAGTCGTCCTTGGGAGCGTACAGGTAGGTGTTCAGGCCCCACTTGTGCTCCCTGGGGGAAAACATCATTATATCTTGCATGAAATGCAGTTTTAAATTTCACTATATGGTGGAACAATTCCATCTGGACATGACTTATAGGGGCAGTCGCCCAGGGCCACAATATTTAAGGAGACAACAAAGATGAGCTTTGTTTTATTTTAATTTAATTTGAAAATCATACAAATATAGTCAGTTTATTTGGAAACAACATAAAGTTATTGGCTGGACTTTATATCCTTCCCATATATGTATGGTACTGGCTTTTAATGCGCTGTAATGTAATTTGGACAATAAACTTTCCTCAGGGGCCCAAACAGCTCCAGCCTGGGGCCCACATCATTGTAAATCCGGCCCTGTCCCTCAGTGTGACAACAAGCAGTTTTGTTGGTTTAGTCCACTCACCTTTTAAAGAGCTCTGTTCTCTGCTCCATAGTCCACGGCCTCCCATAAAACCCTGCATCCAGCAAATGTAAGCTTTGATTCACATCAGCGCCACAAACAATAAACTAGCAGAAACAAGCAGGCGGTGAATCGATGTCGATTTATTGGTCCCGTAAGTCTGACTGATGAATGGTCTCACCTTCCACCACCCCACTGATGAAGGGTCTGTCGGTCCTGCCAGGTGTGGACATGTCGCCGGTGTGACTCGCAGCCTCCTCGCGCACACGGAGCTCACTACGGAACTGTCATGGCTGCGCGCTCTAACCTTTGCTTCCCCCCGCGGTTTATGACGCCGTCTTATCGCAGCATGAGCGAACAGAACCTGCTGCAGCAGCACCGCTCTAAAGTCTAAACCCGTAAACGTCCGGGCGGAACCACAAACTTTCCTCCGCTCGTCCGTCAGGTGCGTTAGGTGAGCCGGCCATTAGTGATGACGACACGAGAGGGGGCGGGGTTTCGGTGGAGGCCAGTCAGAGCTGCAGTTTAACCCATGAGTTGTAGAAAAATTACCCTAAAGGCCTAAACTGTAATTTTACGGCTTGAGAGTTTATAACTTTTCCTAAATTGACCCCGTCATTAGAAAAAGTGATACTTTGTTTTTGTTAATATTTCCATGTGGGCTGTACTCCACCAGCCCTAAACACACATATCAAAGAAACTGGACTGATGTACAAATTGAACTTGCATTTGACCTGCGCCTGACCTCTCACTCTGCAGCAAACCCCTCACATCACAAAGTTTCCAAACAAAACAGAAAACCATATCTGACATAATAAAAACAAATTATATATGAAGTGTATGAAGGTACACTGAATCTGATCTGATCAAAAGAAAAAGAGTGTAAACCTGTTGATGTCTTTTGGTATTGTAAAAAAATTAATTGAGTTGATTTGATCAATGTCAGCTTGTTTTATTGTGCCAAATAGATCTTGAATTCAAAATTAATCTGCTTTATTTTGTGCCTTTTGTTAGGGCACATCAAAAAACTTTAAATAAAACCCAGAATAGAAACAATAAAACATCTTTATTTTGATATAGAAAACTTTAAACATGTAACTTTGTGTGTTGGAATGTAATAAACATGCAATAAAACATATTCAGTGCCAGAGCGCTACATAATGATGCTGTTCCAACTGTACAATGAGTGCTGTACTGTCATGTACAAGTCAATAAATGCAAATGTGTTCAGCTTATTCATTCAAACCTGAAAACACCCAAAACAAAAGTAACAAAACAAAAAAAGACTTTTGCTACATTATTGTGAGATTGATGCTCTTGGATCCAGAAAGTCTCTCTGGATGATCTTCATCCTGCTGCTCGGCTCGGCTCTGCTACCTCTTCAGTCCTCTCTGGGCCTGTTTCAGCAGCGAGTCAAAGTCCAGGTCTTCAAACCTACTTCTGGGGGCCGGCGACTCTGCCTCTCTGTTAGAGTCTGAACAACATCATCAATTTAGGTTAAATTCATTTAAAATTATTATTTGAGCAAAAATATACAAAAGATGTTTGTTTTGCCTTTTATGCCCCAGTATGTAACTTTATTTATTTTATTTTTTTACATATTTGTTGAAGCTGTCACCAAGTTGTGAAGCAGTCAGAACCAGGCGGAGTGTCTTAGCGATGTCAATCAGGCTTCTGCATGTGCTGCTCACCCATCCCCAATTTTCTCTGCCACAGCTGCTGATAACGGTGGAAAAACTATTTTTCTGTAATGCCAACACATTGAGTAGTGTGTACACAAGGTTGATTGACAGCACTAAGACCTTCCCCCCTGGCTCCAATTGGTTCTGAGTGGAGCATTTCTTCAGACGGTAATAGTAGCTCAGGTGGAGGAGCTCGATTTCTTCAGATTATCCTTCACATACTACACTGTCACAACATAACATTTTAACTAAAATGTAAAAACTTACTTATTTTTAAAGTTATATAGCCCATCTCTAATGTTAGGAATTGAAAGAAATGACAGTAAAATGTCACTGAACACAAGGTTTTTTCCCGGAGGGAACGCTTCTCACCAAGATCAGCATAGTCAGAATTACAAAACTGCCTCCGACCACCGAAGCAGAGGTCAAAGGGCAGCTCATTGGGCTGTCTCAGCTTCCCGCCGTTATCGATGGCTGCGAACGCATCCTCCGTGTTGTAGAACGTCACAAAGCCGTAGTGGTCGCTGTGGGGACCAACAATGGGTTCAAGTTAATGCGGTTCAACAAGTGAAAGAGTCGAGGTGAGAGTGACTCTGAGAACTGACCTGCCGTCTCTGAAGTGAAGCGACACGCACTCGACCTCTCCGAACTGAGAGAAGCGTTCCCTCAGCTCGTCGTGCGTCATCGTCCTGCGGATCCGGCCGACGTACACCACCCTGCGTTCGTCCTGGGTTATATAAATTAACATACTTTCAGCCCTCTGAACGAAAACGTAATGGTATGAGATGGAAGAAAAAGTACCCACGATGGCTTTAAGTTTCTGAATCCTCATGTCCCGCTCTCTGCTGCGCCGCCTGGACTCCCTGCTGCTGCAGCGAAGGAGAACACGACAAAACTTAAAACATGCAGCTCATTGTGATTGTTTTTAACCTGCAGCTACAGCGGCGTAAAGGTTTTTATCCACACACTGCTTAACACCCTCCTGTAAAGCAGCCATGCTTCCTTGAAACCTTTTAAAAAGAAGTGAAACTTTGGAGAAAATAAAACTTAAGAGAAGTTTTTACATCAAGTCTGCCTGCGTTGACGACGACCAAAGACTTTTACTGTGTGACGAGGACTCATCAAGAAAAGTAACTCACGCAGACACATCCCTCCAGTGCCTGTGGTATATTTGTGGGGAAGACGATCGGGATCTGGACCGGGACCAGGACCTGGACCTTGATCGGGCCGCGCGGTGACGCCGGGGAGGCGTGGCGCAGGAGGAAGGGGAAGACGAGCAGGAGCTGCTCTCTGAGCGCCGGCGGCGGATCCTGTGTGGAACAACAACATGAGGTCAGAGGAGGCGGCGGTTACACCAGAGGACGACGAGAGACGAGGAGCACCTGGGCCGTTTTGGAGAGCAGGAGCAGGACGAGGAGCTGGAGCCAGAGTCCGAGCGAGGAGACCTTACCCTGTACCTCCTCCTGCTCCGTCCCCTCCCAGGCGGAGTGGGAGGAGGCGTTGGGAGACCGCACAGCGCCGCCCTGCTGTCGTCTCGGCCGCGCCTGTCTGCAGCCTTTCTGGGAGAAAACCGCAGAGCTTTCTCTGTACTCGTGTCTGTTTCTGAACCCGTCCCGGTTTGATCCGATCGACGGTTCTCCGAAACGTGATCCGCCGTCCGCTCCGGTTCTGTGGCGGCTTCAGCCAGCAGCTGGGCTTGTGGAGGGCAGCGCTCAGCAGAACTGCAGTAATCGTGATCGCAGCACAAATAGGCGTAGATCTGAGCCGAACTGTGAGCGGCGGGCGGCTCCGACTGGCTCGTCCGGACCTTCCTGGTCGGAAGCGGGCGCGGTTCGATGATCTGAACGAGCTTCAGAGACAGACTTCTGCATCTCGTGGGCGGGTTCCTTTGGGTGCTCAGGACGACCTCGGTGTGTAGAGGCTCGGGGACGTCTAACGATCGGACGTCTTTCAGACCGTCTCCAGGGCTCGGTGGTTCCGGAGGCCCCACAGTGGGCTTCAGCGGAGATGTGGAGATCAGCTCTGGTCTCTCAGGCTCAAGTCTGTCCAGGCCCAGCCGACAGTTCGATTCGCCGGATAAGGACGAAGAAACAGAAACTGGCTCGGGCCTGTTATTACAATTGCCGTTGTCTATAGCTGAAAGGGAAAAAAAAAAGAAAAAACAAGAAAGTGAGAAGATTGTTTAACACAAAGAAAACAGAAATATTTATATTTGAAATCCTTGAAGAATCTTGAACAATTTGAGTTACCATAACATTTCATTTCTCTTCGGGGTCAAAGTATTTTTTTTTTTTTAATTGCATTTCAACAAAAAAATAAAGAATCCTGCCATTTAAGAGCCGTGATTAGCACATTTAAGGACAACTTCCATTTATAAATAAAGACATTTTAATGCTGTAACTACCCACCTTGTGTTTCCTCAAACTGCTCCAGCAGGCTGGTCAAGTCAGCAGCTTCAATACCTTCAAGAACAAACCGAGAAGAAAGGATTTATTTTTTCCTGTTCTTGAAAACATTGTGACATTTAGTTTAAGATCTAATTTGCCCTGATTAGCTTTAGAGAAACTGTCAGTGAGGTAAATTGGTCCTTGGTGAGAAGTTTATGAAATAAAATTCTGTTTTAATTAAATCAATCCAGAAACTCGACCTGGCCTTTTGTCTCTCTGTCTCAGATGAAGTTACCCGTCCTCAAGAGGCTTTACCTGATTGATCAGTAGCACTGTTGTTTCTGCAGTCGTTCTGAGGTGGTTCTGGATCTGTAGTGTCCGTAAACGGTGACATCATGTGACTCTCTGTGGGAGGCCGATGGAGGCGTGGTGTGATGGCGGTAAACCCAACATCTGGACTCAACGGCCGCTCTGCTCGGCTCAGATCTTGAGGAGATTCGGGGTAAACACGTGGCGGCATCTCGGTCAGCTTGGCGTTTACTTCCTGAAGCAGCGGGGTGTCCACGGCTTTACTGTCCTCGTTGGGAGGGGAGGTACTGAGCTTTGGTTCTGAAGATCTCTCATAAAGTGCTTGGGATTCATTTTGGATCTGTTGTGGATGCTTGTTGCTGCGCAGTCTAACGAGGACCGGGTTTGGAGGATCGCTACTGACGAGCTTTGGCTTCTTCACTGGACTTCTCCTGCTGTCTGGTTTCCTGCCGCTGGGTGTGGCTGAGTGGTCAGGCGGTGGGCTGGCAGAGGAGATTCTGGGTTCAGGTTTTGAGCTCTTCAGCCTCCTGTGATGTAGATGGTTGGGTAGTTTAGCCTCCTTTAACTTAACATGTTGGGTGAAAGTGCTGAACTCAGCTGCTGTGTTTGGTCTACGCAGGGGCAAGATGGGGGGCAGCTCTTTGGGCAGCTCAGACACAGAGGGCCACCTGGTGGTGTAATTCCTAAGTTCCTCCACCGGGGGTCGTCTATTCAGCCGGAGCTGCCTGTACTCTTGCAGGCTCAGTGATTTGGTTCTTGTCTCGCCTTTCTTCTTCTCCTGTTCTTCGTTGTTTCCTTCTGAGGGCTGTGTTGAAGGTTCAAGTGCTGAACCTGATGGCTCTTTGAGCGTTTCCCTGATTTTCTCCTCAATTTCTTCTTCCTCTGATTCATCAAACGACGCCACGTGAACAGGACCAAAGCTCACCCTCTTCTTCTTCTCTCTGGAAGTCTTTCCATTTAGCAGTACACTCTTCAGGGGTGAGCCATCCCCTCTACTTCCACCCTCTTCCTCCTCCTCTGTCTGTTTTGAAGGTGCCTCATCTTCAGACACGACGTTTATCTCTTCGTCGCTGTCTTCGGAG